TATTTAAAAACCTTAATTTCCCTCTGATAACCATATCTATTTTGCGTTCCTGCAGATGTCAGTGTAGTATAAAAAATACATCTTGAAATGAAAGGCTTTCAATTAGTAAAAGGCAAGGTGTCAGTACCTTTCTCTGGATACTGAGGTATGGAAACATGTGGTATGAATCTGGACCATTGCACTCAATAGCAGGAAGGAACATCTGATCTATAAGGTGATCAAGTAGAAGGGGAAACTGGGCTGCTCTGCCACAAGAGTGTGCAGAAGAGGAAATGTCTGCAGACACAGATTGTTTCATCCCTGCATGATAAAGTGCACTTGGAGGAATTCAACCTTCTGCCCAGTTACTAGAGGTACAGGGACTTTGTTGGTCTTTGCATCCAGTCAAGAAGATTGCATCAAATAAAGCAGTTACTCAGGCCAAGAGTAACATAGATATAGGAAAGGAAGATACAAGCATTTCTGGTTGCAGACTGTATCGTATTCAGGCAAAGTGAATTAACCATAAGCTGCCCACTTTACAGCTCACCCTCCAAATTCCTCCCTCCTTCCCTGTTTTCTTTTATACCCTGCTGCAGGCAGGTACAATTTATCATACAAAACAAAGTGGGGAGGCATGTTGTTAGCAAACCTCACAGCTTGAATAAATTTGACTGAAGTAATCACTTACGGTTTCTGGACGTATAAGGCTTTATTCATGCAGACATGTACAGAATGAGTGGAGATTAAAAAGAGAAAAATAGCAGACATTTGTCTCAAGTTGGAAAATAACAATAAACAAAATGGTTCAGCATTTAGTAGTGGAGGTAACTTAAACACAGAGGCTCTAAGCAAGAGCTGGCTAGATCACTACAAACTCAAGAGAAGGAAATATATTTGCTTTTCTCTAACCGACCCCCACAAAATCCAGAGGGAAAACTACTGTTTTTCTCAAGAAGTGCCAAATTTCATTTCTGCCTGACATGTTTTGGAAAATTTTATTTCTTTATGAGGTTTTCTCAATGCCGACATCTTTGCATATGGGATTCTTGGTTCTTAAGCACACAGTTTGGAGAAACTTTGTCACTAGAAGCCTCTGCCAGCTGCAGATATTTCTGTGAAAGGGTAGTCTGGTCACAGTGATCTATGCTGGATTACTCCATTTGTATTATATGTGGGGTTCCCCTTGAAGATCTCCACAATGACTTGGAAGCTTCAATTGATACAGAATATGACTAGCAGGGTTTGGAATGATGCAGCCAGGTTTGTGCAGATCCTGCCAATCTCAAAAGAAGTTACAGGATCTGAAGAGGAGTTGGGTAGCCCATTGAAAGTAGGGGGAAACAATAATGAAAATGAATAAAATAATGATGAAGAATGGATGTGCTAGTAGCTTAATAAGTAATAGAATCAAGTTGTTTGTTACATAAATGAATGGAATAGCTGGATGGGGGTGGGGAGTACTTTTTACATCCGAAAAGCTATTGGAGCTACTGTGACTCGATTTGTAAGGCTTTGGTCTATTGATGGGAATATTAAACTGGACTGAGTAATTGAAGCATAGATGGAGCCTTAAGGGTTAGAGAGAAAAGGACTGAAGCTGTTTTAAACTTAAATTAGGGGGGAGAAAATGTATGGTGAAGAAGAGGGTCTTTTCCTGCTCCCCCTCCCCCACCAGTATCTAAAGAGCAGGTCCATTTACATCCGCAAAGCGAAGCAGTTGACATAGCAAGTGAATAGAGGAGCAGCTGGGTCTCCCTAGGAACACCTTTTTCAGAGTAGCAAAGTAGCTGGAAACATCACCAGCCTCTTAGGGGACATGGCAAGATGATCAGTAAATAGCAGGTCACTTTTCATGTGCTGCCGTTTGAAACGAGACAGCTTTTCTTCTAACGCCAGCTGCACTTTCTCTGCACGAAGCCACCTATCTTTTGAAGATGCTGGCACACATGACAAATCCTGTTCTCGCCAGCCAAGTCTTGCAGCTGGGATAACCAAAAGCCCTAACTTTGCTAACTGGAAGGGCACAGATTTAGAAGCAGGGCAAAAGAATAATCTAATCTACTCTGATTAATCAGGCACTAATAATGGGCCACAACCCGTCTTAGTCCATTCCTGTTGTCTTCAGAAACATGGCAAACATGTTAGGGAACATTCAGAAGACAATTTCAGCAGATGGTACAGGAAGGCATTTACCAAGGCCCCACTGATTTAAGTGAGTACACCCCAAAGTGAGAGCATGAGCCACAGTCTCCTTGCTGCCACCTGGAATGGGGAAAAGTTGGGTTGAAGGCAGTGGATGCTCACATCATGTTCTTCCTGGCTGCATGCAAAAATGTGTGTCTGTAAGGGTGGGTCTACTACGAAGCTAATGGAGCTTAAGCTTCAGGGCCCCAGAAGGGACTTTAGTCCACATTGCTTAAAGTTTTTTGGTCTAGTAGACCTGATTCACACAATTCGCACAATTCAAAATGATTGTTTTGCTGTTGTATAGATTTCAACAATCCCAGTGTTTGAGAGTCAGTAGCAAAGATATTGTAAAGGTATGGTGACCTGCCATGGAACAACCCCACTGAAGAAGGAAACAGTGAGTACCCAGACCTCGTTGCTGGTTGTGAAGGGGGCCCCATAACAGTTCAAACTTCAGGGCCCCCAGAATGTAGGTCTGCCGCTGGTGTACAGCCCTGACGACAAGATAGCTTTCAGTGTCAAAGATACTGTGAAGTGATGTGGCGTTTGCCCATTCTTTGGGGATACGTTTGTATTGGGGGAGAAAAAGGGTTAATAGGTTGACCAATAAGAAAGCCCAGGGGCGGAGCCTACCTGATTTTGAGCTCAGCCCAGAGGTTTTGACAGTTCGGTTGGTTCTTTTTTTGAGGGGGGGGGGAGATAGAGGAGTCAGAGTGAGTTAGAGACAAGGACAATACTGAGAGGGAATAGAGTGACAGTGTTTCAAATATATTTTAAAACTTGTTTGTGTTTGAAATCAACTTTAATCTTCATTGTTAGCCCTACCTGACTGAGACTCAACACTTCACCGGGGAACCCTGGGTTTTTTCCACAAAATTGGTGGCAGCGGAAGAATAAAGTAGTGGTGTACAGGTCAGTAGTCCATGAAACGACCAGGGGCTCTGTACAAACACCACAAGTGGGTCTAAGCGTTCAAATTTAGGAATGCTAAATTTATCATGCACAACATTCAGTAACTCTCACAGTTTTGGTTTGGTCATACTTTCTCCTTTCCTCCTCCACATGTGACAGCTTATGGATCAATACATGCCATTGCTCTCAAATACATAGAAATATCGATTCTACATCACTGTGGTCTTCTACTTTGCTTCATACTGATGAACAGAATTGAACGTCGTGTCACAGTAAATGAAATCCACTCTTGATCACTGTTCAATTTTATTTATTTTTACTCTGCTGTCTTATCTATACAAGCATTCCCTACCAGCTTCTCAACCTGCCTTTACATGTTTTAGACTGCAATCCTTTACCCATTTACGTGGCATCAAACACCGCTGAACTCAGTTGGACTTCTGCCTGAGCAAGGATTGTGTTAGGTTGTGCCGTCAGTTTCCCCTGGAACTACCGTGCTATTTTGAACTCTCATCTTATTTTTAAGCAAGGGGGTGTCTGTTGCTAACTTGTCCATGGTTCACTTCAGGCTGCTACATTTAAAAAATGCATCTGGGTGGGTGGCTTAATGTTACAGGCAAGAGGAAACCCCTGGAAAGGAAGTGGCGATGTCTTCTGTGCTTGAGGCTGCTGGTGCACTTACAAGAGATTGTTTCTTTCCACCACGCCTGGTGAACTTGGTGGACAAGCAGAGGCCTTACCTGTCTCTGCTTGCTTGAGTGAGCCTTTGTTCCTCCAAAGGGATGTCTTTTTGGCACACCTGATCCTTTTTCCAGTGCTTATCTATACTATAATGCACTAGAAGGTTGGGGTATGGTTGTGTATGAAATGAAGCCTCCAATATAGATTACCCAAACTACCCTAGTGTCACAGATCGGGCAGGGTAGGCAGAAAACTCTTTGACAGAAAAGAGGCAGAAATGAGTCTAGCTTCCTTGAGTCACAATCATGGAACCTATAATGGCCCCCACGCCCTTCTACAGTGGTTTCCCAGGCTCCCTTATGTACGTTGAGCTGGGACTATAGCTTATTCCTTCATCCCCACAGCCTTCTCCTCCCTTCTGAGTGTGTGAGTGTGCTGTCTTTTGGTCTCCTTTTTTGATTCCTTCACAGCACCAACCATTGCTGAGCAGTGGAGCTACTGCAGCCTCTCCAGAGCACCTTATCCTCCCATCGGTACATTCACCCCTGGTGTCAGCACTTGCTGATGCTGGGAGAGACATGGAGCTTCACTAAGCTGAGAGCTACATTAATCTCAGCCATACTGGGCCAGCACTTTGCTTGTAGCAATATGCTCATTTTGCATGTTGTAAAAGTGTTTTACACACACACACACACACACACACACACACACACACACACCGTGGGTTATTTATTTCTATCTCTAAGAAGATGGTGGAGTCGGTCAGAAATGTTTAAGATGCGTTGATTCCATTGAGTCAAGATGGTCTGGCTATGTTTTATCTCGCCGTAAAAGTTAGAAGTAATTCCATGGATTGTGTTGACAGCATGAAGTGTGAAACTCTACTTGTGACAGAGCTCGGTGTTAAGACTTGTCTGACTCTGCACTTAAGATGGGTCACACACCACCAATGATGTCACCAAAGCAGGGCAAGTCCGGTTGTTACGCCGCACCCACATAGCAAGCAGATATGCCAGCAAATACAGCCATGACCCAATGTTTATTCTTAATTATTTGGAAAAGCGCTCAGAAATGTTTGGATGGGAATGAGCACCTTCATGATTTTGCAGTGAAGCAATCTCTCAAAGGGCTCATTACTGGACAGGAGTGCAAGTTATTCCAAAAGGTATGGTTTATATTGTGGCTGTGCATGTCAGCAGCCCTACGGGAGGCAAGTAAATAAAAGGACAAAGGAACCCATCATGAACTTACTTTGAGCTATATTTCCAACTGAAAATGGAAAGCATTCAAAAGCATCCATTAATAAATATCAGTTATATTTCAGATCCTGTTAGAGCACTTCAGTCTGTAGCCTTGAAACCTGAAGCAAGAATGAGGTTAATGCTTTGTGTTCAGACAGTTGCCCTAGAAATGGATAAATATTTCACATTAACTTGCGTTCTTCTGCCAGTTTTTTGTCAGAGGGACCAGGGTTCAGAGATGTAGCATTTGTGAATTACCAGGAGTGAATGTTCTCTTGCTTTGACCTTTGGAAATGGCTCCAGAGTGATTGGCTTGCTATCCTTACCCTTTCCCCAGAGGTCAGCAAGGTTGTAAATATAAGAGCTATGGAACAGCCAGATAATCAAATTGAGACTCTTCCACTGCAATGCAGGGTTGTCACAAGAAAGTGAAATCTTATCCTCAGCAGAGGCTGCCTTTCAAGAGCACTCTGGCAGTCGCTGTAATTGTCTACTCCAACGATGTGTGCAATTGCACCACATAAGGAGACTTGTGTGTGCATTTCTAAAATTTAGTACCTCAAAATACGGTGCCATTTCCTATTTGAAGTGTTGGGTGCTAGAAGCAGGAGAGGAAAAAACAGCCCCCCAGCCTCTCAGAAAAGATGAATGAAGAAGTTCCAACTCACTCATAATGCTTGTTGCTCCATCAAAGAACAGCATGAGTAGTGGTGGTGGTGGTGTTTTTTACAAAAATGTAGCTGCCTAGCCAAAGCAAAGTACTATAAGACAGTGGTGTATCCTTATAGTTTGCAGTTTGTTCTGTTTGTCTTATGAAGTGTATCTCTTTAGAAATGGATGGGGGAACCTGCAGCTCCCCAGTTGCTGTTGGACTCCAACTCCCATGATTCCCAGATAGCACAGCCAATAGAGCTGTAATCCAAAACCACGTGGAAGGACACTGATTCCCTGTCACCACTTTAGAGTCTCTGTAGTCTGACCCTTAGGGATAGGCTTCCCACTATTCTCAGGGAGAAATGGAAGGATGAAGATTGAGAAAGAAGGAGTATGGAGACTGGAAAGTAGACAATGTAACACCCATTTTTTAAAAGGGATCTGGGGAGAATCCAGGAAATAACAGACTTGTTAGTGTAATGTCTGTCCCTGGAAAACTGGTGGAAAGTATTGTTAAAGCATATAGAAGAACAAGCCGTACTGAAGCAGAATCAGCATGGCTTTTGCAAGGGAAAGTCCTTTCTTGCAAACCTGTTAGTTATTTGAGAGTGTATACAGGCATATGGATAGAGGTGATTAGGGATATGGAGTCCAGCAGCATTTTGTAGGCCATAGGTTCCCCAGCCATGCTTCAGGGGAAGCTTATTTGATAGAGCACATGCTTTCAAGGCAGAAAGTCTCAGGTTCAAATCTAGGCATACCTAGGTAGGGGTGGCAAACCCGGGACATGCACTGCCTGTCAGTGTAGACAGTAGAGAGCAAATGGACCAGGGGTTTTACCCTTTGTAAAGCAGGCTTCCTAGCACTGAGAAATCCCAGCTCACCTTGTTGTAGACTGCCGTCCCCTTAACTTATCCTTAACCCACCAGTGGATTCCTGTAACAGAAGAATCCCATAAGTTCATAGCTTTTATCGTTCCAGAAATGTTATTCCCATGCAAAAAAAATTGATTTGGCTTCCGCAGCATCTGCATTCCATAATGTAAGGTGTCCAACATCTGGAGAAAGCAGGCGCATTAAAATTTTCCAAAATTACATTCTGGTATGCAGGAGGATGAACCTGATCATGGCACAATTAAATAAGGCATCCTATAAGAGTTTCAGTAATGTGGGCGCTATCAACGGGGCAGAATGTCAGTTTTAGACAGACACGGTGTAATTTGTAAAGCATTCTCAGGCGGGCATGCTGCCAAAATAAGACCTAGCAAAAGCCATTTGTGAAGCACAAAGATCAACTTCGATCCTTCTTGGGGCTGAGCAAGTCCTGCTCAGAGCTAGTGCAGCAGTTTGCCATTGACAGCCCCTTTGTGTTGCCTCCTAAAGAAATACGTGTAATTTGAGGGGGATACAGAGTGCCAAGTGTTTTAAGGAGATCCAATGTTCCATTTCCACCAAACAGACTTTAAGCCCTTTTCATCTTAAGAAGTAAGCAGTTGTCGCTGAAGATGCATGTGAGTGTGTCAATTCAGCTTTTTTTGGGGGGGGGCGAGAATTACCATTAGCATTCCAACCCCTTCCTGACTCAGGAGAATCTTGTTCAGGCTTCTATAAAAAGAAGTTTCGGCATATTTCTGGGCAGTCAGGCATTTTGTTATTTATTTGTATACACCAGTCATCCCTTCCCTCTTCAGTACCTGAGAAGCTAGTCAAGCCAGCCCAAGGATTGCTAAATGGGCTTTGAGACCCTGATTCTTCCTGGAGCTCAGAATATGACTTCAGGTAGTTTATCTTGCCATTTATACCCAGGGCCTGCTCAAAGTATTTTGCCGCTTGAAGCAGAGGACAGCTCCTCTAACCCTACAGTTCCTCTTACAGAAGCCAACCAAAGTGCCAGCTGAATGTTACTTTAACACTGGTGATGGGACATTGTCCTCCATCGCACCTGAGGATAGCAAGAAGACTTAGGCCATGTGGCACACACAGCTCTTTCCTCCCAACCTCACCACTGCCACCCAGGAACAGCCGCCTAAGACAGCTGCCTCACTTTGCCTAATGGCAGGGATGGCCTTGCTTGTACCTCACTCTTGAGGATGAAGTCGCATCTGGTGATGATGGAGAAGCTGTCACTGAACAGATTGCTGCAGGGATTTATAGGTAATGTAGGCTTCCTACGGGCAGCTACTGTGAGAACAGGATGCTAGACTAGATGGGCTATTAGCCTGATCTAACACACTCATCATATATTCTTAGAAAACTGTCACATTTTATTGTCTTTGGTGCCTTGTTTTGTTTTTGTGTGCTTATTGTGCTTGGGGGGTCTCAAAAGCTGGAAGGAGCCTAGGCCTTTCTGGACCTCCGAGAGGGCTACACAGCACCATAATAAAGCAAAGTTTTGTCTCGGAGCCTCCTTGCCCACGGCAAGCTACAAAACAGGCAGCTCTCCATCCCCAGCTGTGCAGGAGAACCTGTGTTCCTTGCACAAGGAAGCCACTTAGAAGCTTGAACCCGCAGCTTGGGAAGTGCTTTTTCTGCTTTTAAAAAGGGCAAGCAATAGGATTGCTTCTCTGTTAAGATAACTGTATTTCAACCGGCATGATAGCAGGGGCATAATTAATGTTTACTTATAATCAGCATCTTTCTGTGCCAGCAATCATGGCAGGCTGAAATGAAGCAGGAGAGAGGAGAAGCCCTGCTGCTTTCAGCTGTCTGGAGCAATAATTACACAGTGCCACAGCACCTCTGGGAGTCTGGCACCATTTATCCTCCCCGCCTCTCCTCATTGGTTGCCTGCCACGAGGCAATCCTGAGAACAGCCAATCCATGCCGCCGTTTTCATACAAAAGGTGGAGAGAAATGTGGGGAGGAAGAAAGGCTCCTCTTGCTCTTGTCTACAGGAAAAGGCTTGGGCCGGTGCTTTATAAGCGAGGTTAAAATAGAGCACCAATCAGAGAGGTAACAGCGTAACCAGGCTCCTTAATCTTGCATAAATACCAGGGAGATGCAAGCGAAGGAGAGGAGGGAGGAATAAATGTCTCCTGTAGGGTTTTCTCCAGAGAATAATTATTAGCTAGGCACTGAGCAGATTGAACCGGGAACAAGGCTGCTTAGCATTCATGCCCTGGCAGCTCAGGCACAGAGTCACCAGCTCATTTGAATGCAAGTGTGGGCCTCCCCCTCCCCTCCTCCTCCTCCGCCTGCAGTGAAAACGGCACCATCCTTATTCTCTCCCCCTGGACAGCGATGGATAAAATCAATAGCCTTCTAATCTGCAGCCTAGGTGCAGTTTCATATGCATTGTAGCTGAGCAGCGATTTCCAAAGCACAGCAACATCCTGTCCGTTCTTGAGTGTTATCGGTGGTGGTGAGAGAGATGTAGTGGTTGTCTTTTTAGAAATGGCAAGAATTGCTTCCTTAGGGGCAATTGTGGTTTCCTCCTGCCCTCCTACAGCAGTTAACCTCATTTGCCATTCTTAGTCATGCTACTCCCACGCTGGGCTCTCCAGTGTTGCAAGAAGACACCCTGCTTCTTCGTCACCAGGGGTAGCAAAGGCTCTTCAGAGGAATCAGCACCAAGATGGATCTTTCAGCACCTTTGGGGAAAGAACACTGGTTTAAAAGGGGTCAGTGGGATGGAGAAATTCCTAGGCACCACGGCATACATTTTTTTGGTCATGAGCCTTCTACAGGTTGACCTACATTTTGGGGGCCCTGAAGCTTGAACTGCTATGGGTCCCCCTTTGTGACCAGCAATGAGGTCTGAGTAACCACAGTTATTTTCTTCATTGGGTTGTTCCATGACAGATCATCACAGTTTATTTATTTTTAAATTAACTACTACATCTGAGATTTTGAGAGAAAAAATTGCTGTACTGGATTATTTCACATGTCAAAGTCACTGGTACAAAAAAATTTTTCCTATGCCTTATAGTTTTCAAGTTATTGGGGGGGGGCTAAAATTAGGGAAATGTTATATACATGCATGATGCATCATAGAATGGTCTGAATTGTGTGACTCAAGTCAGGTCTTTACCCCCCATAAATTAAGCAATGTGGACTAAAGTCACTTCTGGGGCCCCTCCAGGATTAGGGGCCCTGAAGCATAAGCTTCATTAGTTTCATAGTACAAAGGCAAATGCCCAGGACCCAATTCTGTGCTGCCCTGAATGACGCTACAGAAAATCAGCAAAAGTTCTTCCTGGTGCAACTTCAGAGAATACTTCTTCACATAGCTCATGGTTAAACTATGGATTTCACTCTCCCAAATGTTGATGATGATGATGATGCCCAGCTTGGATGGCTTTGAAAGAGGATTAGACAAATTCATGGAGGACAAGGCTCTCAGTGGCTACTAGTCACAATGGCTATATTCTGCCTCCACAGTCAGAGGCAACATGGCCCTGAATTCCAGTTGTTGAGAATCACAAGTAGATAGAGTGCTCTTGTGCACGGGTCCTGCTGGTGGACTTCCCATAGGCTTCTGGCTGGCCACTATGAGAACAGGATGGAGGACTAGATGGGTCACTGGCCTGATCCAGCAGGCTTTTATTACCTTCTGGTGCTCTTACTTTTAGATGTCTTTTGAAAACCACCTTGTGTCGGCAGGCCTTTTCAGTTGGATGGAGTTTAGGTGATTGGCCAGTTATGGCATTTATATTTTTGATACGTTTACTGTGATTTTATATTTGCTCGGGCATTATCTACATGAGTTAGCAGTATATAACTATTATTAAAAAATAAATGTGCAACACACTGAACCAAACCCCTAAACAATTGTTTCAGAGGCCCTGAGGGATCCCCCCTACGACTTCAAGGAAACTGCACTGCCAAATCCTTTCCCCCACCCCGGGTTTCCCCTGAGACTCTCTACTCAGTTGTTGCAGCAAATTTCAAAAAGCCCATGAAAAATGGCCCTGTCCCCATAGTCGGAGTCATTAAGAATCTCAGGTTTCCGAGGCATTAAAGGGGAATAATTATGCTGCGAATAACAGCTTAGCAAAGGTTTTGCAGCCTTTGGGGGAAACAAAAGGCTTGAGCTGGGATGAAGACTCCTTCCCTTATGAGAAAAATGCAGCTCCCTAGAATAGATCATCCTGGTTCTACACCAGCAATAAGCATATGATAGAGGGGGGAAATGTGTTAACTGAGCATTCCACATTTATTTTACACAGAAAAAAGGTACCTTCCTCCAAGGGTCTTCTGCTGGTTCCCTCACTGCGAGAAGTGAAGATACAGAGATGCAGGCAGAGGGCCTTCTCAGTAGTGGCACCCTCCCTTTGGAACACCCTCCCTTCAGATGTCAAGGAGATAAAGAACTATTCAACTTATAGAAGACACCTGAAGGCAGCCCTGTATTGGGAAGCTTTTAATGTTTGATGCTTCATTGTGTTTTATATAGTCTATAAGCCACCCAAAGTGGCTGGGGAAACCCAGCCAGATGGGCGGGGTATAAATATGAAATTATTATTATTATTACTACTACTATTAGTAGTAATGTTCTTTATATTGTAGTACAGTACCATTTACCACAGTAGGAAACAGCAGGTATTAAAAGTTATTTCAATATATGGGCACCCCCATTGATGGAGAGTATCACACACTTTCAAACAACAGTGTTCAGCTTGTGCATGTTTTCAGTTAAACAAGAAAATCTCTCTGCTGTCGTCCCTTTCCCCCTGCAGACAAGGTTTGGAAATACAGATTTAGGAGATACAGTGGATTGCAGCTCTGGGACTTTTCTCAGAGCAAGAGCAATGACATAATCTGCAGGAGCACCAGGATACTTGAAGGAATCTCCTTGCCTTGACAAGTGAATGAGGTGATAAGGAGGCTTTCAAGTTTCTTTGAGACATATTAGCAGAGCCATAAAGCAGGGGTGGGGACTCTCTGAGACTCCAGATGTTTCTGAACTACAGTTCCCATCATCCTTGGCCATGCTTGAGGCTGTATTTCAGCAATATCTGGAGGGCCAAATGTCCTCCACACCTGCCAGCAAGCTAGGAGGAAAATAACTAAGCAGAGACAATATACTTTTTTTCCTTTTATTTCATGGAGGTCTAACTTCATGTTAGCAGTTTACGTGGTGATGCTTATTTGCAAGATTGTTTTCATTTCTAATTAAAAGCTGAAAGGTTTCATTTCAGCTGGCTAAGATCTTTTGTTAAAGCTCAATGTGTTTTACAAGTTGAACCTATGCAGTTAGAAGTAAGTACCACTGAGTTCAAAGGAGCTCAGTCCCGGAAAACCATGCATAGGATTGCAGTCATGCTGAATCTAAGAAACTAGGTAGTGTGCTATGTTCTGTTGCTCTTTGAAGTTTCTGTGTGGTAATGGATCAACACAGCTGCCTGAATTTTTGGGCTTGCTAAGGGGGCTGTTGTAATGAACTCCACCAGACTGCCCTAGAGGAGTAGAAAGAAAACACTAGGACTAAACAGCCCTGCAAAATCAGGCAGGCACAATAAGGGAGGAGCTGGTCCCATGTGAAGTGAGATTCTGTCAAATCACGTTTGTCAGTAGTAGAAATTCTGAATCACAGAAGAGTCTTGAATTTTCAAAGCCAGAGGACATCACATTTCCTTACTTTGTTGAGGTTTTAAAACTGCTTGGGAACAACTGGCTTTAATGAAAAACAAAGTTAGTAGGTACCAGATGTTTTCTGTGCCTTAAAAAGGAATGCAGCTGTCTGCTCAAAAGCAAAATTCCTAGCAGTGGAAAAGCTTCTGCAGAAGCAGTTAAAAGTAAGGACCCCTGACAGTTAAGTTCAGTCGCAGACAACTCTGGGGGTGTGGCGCTCATCTTGCTTTACTGGCCAAGGGAGCCGATGTTTGTCCACAGACAGATTTCCGGGTCATGTGGCCAGCATGACTAAGCCACTTCTGGTGAAACCAGAGCAGTTCACGAAAACACTGTTTACCTTCCCGCCAGAGCGGTACCTATTTATCTACTTGCACTGGCTTGCTTTTGAACTGCTAGGTTGGCAGGAGCTGGGACCGAGCAACGGGAACTCACCCCATTGCGGGGATTCGAACCGCTGGCCTTTTGATCGGCAAGCCCAAGAGGCTCAGTGGTTTAGACCACAGCACCACCCGCGTCCCACAGCAGCAGTTTGTACATCTGAAATGCAGTTAAAAGTTAGTATTCTCTCAGAACAGAACTTACCCTTTTTCCTTGTTCCTTACAACCAGCCAAGGTGAATCTCTGCCTGTCATTGACTCTGACCCCATCTGCTGTTGGTCTCCCTGCCTTCTGCCCTGCTAGTCTCAATGGGCACCAGCCCTCACTCTTGTGTACTGGGCAAACTGGGAGCCAACTAAGCTCTATGCACAAACGCATGTGCAGAACCCAGATACTGAGACAGACAGAGATAGGAGAAGCAACTTAGGAAGGCAGAATCTTGAGTGAAGAACAGTGTATAGGTATAAGGAGCAAGCCTATGCACAAGAAGCGGGTGGAAAACACAGTGGCATAAGTTAAGCAGGGCTGCCGCTGCTGCACTAGCTAAGCCTGCCAGAGGGAAAGCAAGCCTTTAAAATAGTGTTTCACTCCAGGCTGCCAGCCAACATGACCAAGCTGAGTGGACTTGGGATCCAGCTTAAATCCTCCTCCCTTTCTTACTGGTTGCTCTTTCCCTGGAAAAGCTGCTCTTTGCCACTGAATCAGAGCAAACATCAGTCCACGGAAAACCACGGAAAAAGCATGATTCGGAACAAGGAAATGGCAGGCTGGCAAAGGGTTTGTCCACAATTCCTCTTGTCTCACTGCTTTCATCCAGAGAAAACTGCTCCTTAGCGTTCAAACAGCAATTTGGGTTTTTCCGCAAATTATCATTTGTTCTGATCTTTCGCTAAAGAGCAGGGCAAGGGGAAAACCACTCAGACCATGCCTAGAAAGTGTGGGTAAGGCGGAAAGCTGATCGGACCCATCTATTCTAGGCATGGCACAAGCAAAGTGTGGCTGAGCCCAAAGGGTTAATCACTCACTGCTTCTTAGTTTAAAATACCCCACACAAGCTGCTTTTCTCATTTTATGAGACATTCTTGCAGTTCTGTTATACTAGTTTGTGCATAACATGCAGTCAGCCATTTTGATAAGGAGGACTATACCTCTTGATAACACTTGAGAGGTCTATAGCGCTCTTGCTTGCTTTTGAGGTTCCAGTGTAGGTCTGGTTGGCCACTATGGGAACAAGATGCTGGACTAGATGGAACTTTGGTAGATCTTTATACCTATATGAGGTTTTTTTTTAATGAAATCTATGAATATCTGTTAGGATCTTCTATGACTGAAGCCAAAGGCAATTTAGATAAGAGTCTAATTTTAAACTTATCGTAAGATTGCTAGATATTCAGTTTGCAATCCTATATACACTTTCCTAGGAATGTGCCATGGGCTAGGAGTCAGCTTCGCCTGCTGAACAGCAGCCTGAAGGGGGAGAAGGCAGAGTGACTCCACCTGCAGCTGATCAGCCTTCAAGGACACAGAGGAGAAGGCCCTGATGAGAACCAGCTGGCTTCAGCCTTCTTAAGCAGAGCTTCCAGCAGCAGTCAGATGCTGAAGACAATGCTTGTAGTTCCTGGTTTTGCCTTGCTGTTACCTGCTCATCCTGACCCACTGATCATTGGATGACCTGACCTGACCTCTGGACTGTTTGACCATGCGGATTGCTGTTCGCCCAACCCTAGGACTGGACCTGACTTCGTATGCTGTCTCGGCCTCCAAGTAAGTACACCTCAAACTCTTCTGGTTGACTGGCCTCCCACTCTACTGAGCTCTGCACGTTGTTGCTCAGCAGTGAGACTACGACAGGATGAGTCTCGATGAGCTCAATGGAGTTGACTTCTGAGTGCACATGCCTAGGATTGTATTGTAAGAGATTTTGTTTTATTGCTACTGACCCTCCACAGTTATTTGCCCATAACAAGGGTATATTAAAATGAATTTCTTTTTATTTTTCTGTTACTAATGGAAGAATAGGCTCTTTATGCAATCAAATCTCCAGTTAATACAATTAGCAAAATAATGCTTGCAGCTGCTTGAACATAAAGTATTTGACATTATTGATTTTATCGAGTGGTTCCCCCCCCCCCGCCTTTATCAAGTGTTTTTAAGTAGATTGATCACCCCTTACCAAAGATCTTGGCATGTAGGAGTCTTTTTTAAGTAAATTGTTAGTGTATAAAATTATACATCTCTTCAAATTGAATATAGGGGTATAATACACTGACAGCAGGTTTATGGATGGTACATAGTACATTAGCATAAAATGAATTTGCATTGCATTAGGATGATTGTCCATTCATCTTTAGTAAAAGAGAGCCATTTTGATTGTTTTAAATAAGGAAAGAGAGAGTTGTTCCAAGTACATTTGTGATCAGTTAAGTGTCTCTCGTTTCCAGCTCAGGCTCATTAGAAGGCAACTGCAGGACTTGCTCAAGCCCTTTTTACACTGTCTGCAGGCAAAGCAGCGAATTCGGGGCGCTTGCCAGGCAGTGCACATTCCTGCCGACATTCTCAATGAGGAGATTGTACAAATAAGGAAACAAACAATCTCCAGTCACACTGACTTTCAGGGCAGGCAAAATAGCAGGTGGGCGGCTGAAGACATGCAGGAAAATCTATCCGTGCTTACCAAAAAGGGGAAAGGAATGACATGAGTGGTTTGAGAGAGCGAAAGCACCAAAAGCTGTATCAAAGTCCTGGAAAAGATAACTAAAAATAGTTTGGAACTGGAAACTGCAACATGATTTACAGACCAATCCTCTGCACGTTTACTCAGAAGTAAGTGCTGCTGAGTTCAATGGATTCGCATACTTTTGAATTCCTTTTGCACCACTGTGGCCAAGTTGCAGGGGTGCTTCATTCTCCTATTTGAAACCAAAAGCATAAGCGGCCTGCCTTTAAAGCACACACATCCCAAAGAATCCTGGGAACAGCAGTTTACAGAACTGCAACTCCCAGCATCCTTAACGAACCAGTTCTCAAAATTCTTGGGGGGACAGGAAAATGTGTTCTACATGTATGGTGTGTGGACAGACTCTGGCTCAGTTGGGCCTTAAGCTGCTAACAGAACAGCTCATTGTGTTTATAACCACCAGGTCCTGCTATAGATTTTTATTCTATTTATTTTTTATTAAAGTTCTGTACTTTAGGAAGTAGGTCAAAGGTGGTCAAAGGCTTAGTGGCTTCTGCTTTTACTGCTGGGCTGTTAAGACATGCAGTTGGGAGTGTGTTATCCAGGGTATTTGAGTGTCCCCTAGTTTGTCTTGTGTTTCTTGTGTCAGTATGGTGGTTGTTTTTAAATAAGTCTGTTAGGTGGTTTAAGCCTTTGGCTTGCCATGTTTTTGTTTGGATGTTTTGTGCTGCATGTTGGAATAGTGGCTACTTTTTCCTTCCACGCTTTAAGCATGGACTGTGTGGACCTGTTTAGTGATTTGGGGGATTTTCCTTAGTTTTTCTTTTGGAGGATTGGGTATGTTGTTGTAGGGTGTTTTCAATTGTCACTTGTCTCCATGTGCACCCATCATTTTGTTTTGTTTTCTAGGATGTATGGGATTACGTGGCACATTTGGTTAGCAATGAAGTTGGTTTCTGGTTAATTGTACTCCTAAATATGAAGGGAGAGTGTATCAAGCTGATCATTTGCAAGAATGTGTGCACATTGTCTGGGCTTTCCTTTCCTTTCCTTTCCTTTCCTTTCCTTTCCTTTCCTTCTCCCTTTCCTTTCCTTTCCTTTCCTTCTCCCTTTCCTTTCCTTTCCTTCTCCCTTTCCTTTCCTTTCCTTCTCCCTTTCCTTTCCTTTCCTTTCCTTTCCTTCTCCCTTTCCCTTTTCCTTCCCTTTCCTTTCCTTCTTCCTTCCCTTTCCTTTCCTTCTTCCTTCCCTTTCCTTTCCTTCTTCCTTCCCTTTCCTTTCCTTTCCTTCTCCCTTTCCTTTCCTTTCCTTCTCCCTTTCCTTTCCTTTCCTTTCCTTTCCTTTCCTTTCCTTTCCTTTCCTTCTCCCTTTCCCTTCCCTTTCCTTTCCTTCTTCCTTCCCTTTCCTTTCCTTCTTCCTTCCCTTTCCTTTCCTTTCCTTCTCCCTTTCCTTTCCTTTCCTTTCCTTTCCTTTCTAAAAGCTCAATAGCAAATAGGCTTGTTCAATATTCACACAAAACCAGGGGTGACAACTTGAATGAAATATTGGGGGGAGGGGCCAGGTAAGCCCCACCCCACATAATTGATCACAAGACATGGCACGCACACACCCCACACACCCCATCAACATGGGAGGTGGCCCCCGCAAATATTATTAGGAGGGGCAAAGGGACCTTGGGCCCTAGGAGTTGGCTCCTATGCACAAATAGTACATTGTTTGGCCTCCCCTTTGTGAATAAACAGAGAAAGCTTTTTAGACTTCAGCTGGGGTTCCCTCTTCCTTCTGCCTAAAATCTGCATGAGTTTGCTGCGCCTTGAAACAAAAATCTCATTGCACTCAAAAGGTGCTCAAGAGATGTCTGCTGCATTAACTGCAGGTGGCCCCCCTCCTGTCCGCCGCCTCTAAGCTCCACCTGCGGTAGCAAGTCAAAATAAACAACCTGCAGGAAGTTGATGGCTTCTAAGCAGCTGTCCTCGTAGTGGGCACTTGTTATATCTGTTATTTGGAAGCAGAAGGGAGAAGATTGATTTTTTTTCCTTGGAGAAAATGTTTCTTTTGTGTAAATAAATTTAAAGGGCAAGATTTAAATGGATTAACAAACTTTCTGCAACCCATTATAAAAAAAGAAGCTAGAGGCAGCCAGTTCTACATGTGCAGTAATGCTTGCTTTTGTAGAACACATTTTTAAGGATTGTTGCATAATCATTTGTCTGCAATGGAAAATGCAGCTGGTGGTCAAAGCCAAGTTTTTTGGTTGTTGGTTTTTAAAAAATCAACTTTCTTTGATCAATAAAATCAATCAAAATGCAGAATTCTAGCTTATTCTCTGGAGGGGTAAAGGGGAGCTGAGACAGAGACCACCCCCCTTCTAATGGAATGCTTTACAAATGCTTACTTTAAGCAAAATTGCAATGTAGAAAATATTCACTTAATCCATTCTTATTGGGACAGGGTGTTTTGTAAGGCCTTGATCCGGCAGAAAACGGCCTCTGCAGCTGCTCCATCCACACAGTGTTGCAATTGTGGGAGCTCATTAAGATTCCTGGGAGCGTCTCTTTTTCTCTTGCGTGGCTTTGGAATGCCTCATTAGACATTCAGCAACTGCCCTCTTCAGAGCACTGCGTCCAACTTGTCCTAGCCAAAGTTTACGGCGTATAAATTAGCAATTCCAACAGATTGCTGCTCTTTTCTGCCTTGGCATAAAGCTGGGTAGTCACAGAAAAATGACTTGCTATCTGTGCTCAAGCTTAACCGTAAGAACCAAGAAGTTAGCTTTGGGAAACTGAACGCAACTTTTGACCATGCAGCTTCCCTCCTTATGAACGACTGTTAGGGAGTCAGGAATCTGCAGAGGCACAATACAGGCAAGGGCGTAAAATGAATGTCTATAAAGGTATTTGGTACTCCTACCAGGGTGTGAAATGAAGGAACATGTAAAGAGTTAGTGTGACATAAAAGATCTTAAGAGATTGTATTGCTTAAAGCAAATGTGAGGGATTAAACATATTTCTTCCCCGAGTCAAAATAGCATCAAATTCAGTCTTGTTCCCAACCCGCCATTACAATCTATGGTGACTAAACAAAGTTACATAATTTGCAGAACGCAAGGTATTCTGAATGTCACTAATTGGTGGCCTCCCTTCCAGCACCCCAAGGAAAGCACTGCAGCTATTTCCAACAAAGCGATGCCTGAGTTAGCAAAACTCCGTGTAGCACAGCCACACTTCAGGACAATAGATCCCGATGTGATAGAGCGGACAGCTTTGATATGCTAATTGCAAACATTATGCCTGACTCCGGTTATTTTAAACTGCTCATTTGTGCCAATGTGTTTTAAGTTCAGTGTGGGACTCGCAAGTTTTCTCCCTGCAATAAATCATAAACTTTTCTGCTCATTTTTTTAAAAAAGAAAATGAAAATTTATAAAGCCTTTGAGAAAAGGTAAAGGCCTGTCAATGCCGATGAAAACAATTCCTGCCATGATATATACCAGTTTGCAACACACATTTTTTTTAAGCATTTAGATTCAGGAAACTGTTGTCATGGAAGTTGTGGGACATGTCACGTGAGACTAAGTCAGTGCACTGCCCCATCTGGTCTAATGCCAATTTATAGTGACTGGCAGTGGCTCCAAAGAGTCCAGAATGAGTCTTTTCAGCTCTGCTGAGAGCATAGCTCCGTTTGTAGAGCATGTGACTCTTAATCGCAGGGTGGTGAGTTCAAGACCCATGTTGGGCAAATGATTCCTGCACTGCAGGGGGTTGGACTAGATGACTCTTGTGGTCCCTTCTAACTTTGCAATTCTATGAATTGGGAATCCCAGTGATTGAACCTGGCACTAATACAAAGAAAGCTTCTGATCTATCATTCCTCTTTGGTCCTTCCTCTGTTGCTTATTAGGCAGGAAAAGAGAGTCATTAGCCATCTCTTACAACCTCTGCTTATGCTAATTGCTCAAGTCAGAGCCAATTATTGGTATCCCAGAACTGACAAGATGCTTGGAGATGTTTAGCTAGCATGTGACCTTTACCTATCGCATCAGATCAGTACAGAGACTGACACCATTGGTCAAGAGATTATCAGTTGCTCCTTTACAGGAGAAATTCTGAAGGAAACTGAAGTTTGGTTTCTAATTAAGCAGCTATCAATTTGATCCAAGTTACTTTGGAATTTTTCTAGCCATTCCGTAACTTACTATTTTTGGCAAGGTGACTGAGCACTTGGCAGAAGACCGGTTTCAAGCAGGAGATGTTCTGCTGCTAAATTTCTTGAACGACTCTGCCCAGCCATTACTCACAGGAAGAGGCAACACGCGGGACCTGTAGGACCACACCTTCAGACCCTGCTGTCACACAACCCTTTCCCGCTTCCCATGGGATCAGGACAAATGCCTGCAGCAGGGATTCTGGTGTGGACTCTGCCCACAAGCAGAATTCCAAAGTATGCAGAAAGCTGACCCAAGCATAAGTCGCTTCTCTGTTGCAGGTTTTTGACCTGAACATACTGGAGAAGATCAGGGCTAAAGCCATGGGCCTGAAATCACTTTGGACTTGTAGTGCCCTTTCACATGTGCAGTGGCTGAATAGATCCAAGTCTACTAATAAATACTGAACCAACTCCTGGCTTGAAACCTGAGCCAAATTGCTTCAGTAGGGCTGTTCCGTGATGTTTGCTTAAGGACAGGTAGAATACCACTCTTTGAAATATCCAGTGCCAGCTTTCAATACCATTAATCATCAAATTGCACTATGCCACCTAGAAAGGTGGTGTAGGTGTTCACTATATTTATTTCTCTCCTTTCCTTCAGGGAATTAAATATTATTATTTGAGTTATATGCCACCCTTCATCCAGTGGTTTACAGTATAAAAAAATGCAAAAATACATAACTTAATAATAAACAAAACAAACACACACAAGTTTAAAACAGGCGTGCCCAAAGTCCGTATCGGGGGCCTAATCTGGCCCGCTGGTCGGTTTAATCCGGCACCTGCAGCAGTGGTCAGCCCTCACGCATGTTCACTTCATCAAATCTGGCCCTTTGAAAAAAGTTTGGACACCCCTGTTTGGTTTAAAAGGTTGTAATTTGTTTAATTGGTGAAAGGCCTGGGTGAAGAGGAAGGTTTTTGCCTGGTGCCTAAAGATATGCAACGAAGGTGCCAACTGAGCCTCTCTGGAGAGAGCATTCCACAAGTGGGAAGCCACTTCAGAAAAGGCCCTTTCTTGTGTTGCTGCCCTCGAAACCTCTCATGGAGGGGGCATGTGAAGGAGAACCTCAGATTATGTTCACAGGGTCTGAGTCAGTTCATATGGGAAGAGGTGGTCCTTGTGGTATTGCAGTCTTGAGCTGTTTAAGGCTTTGTAAACCACTATGAGTTGGGCCCAGAAATTAACTGGCAGCCAGTGCAGTCGGCAGACCTTGGTTCTCCTCCCCCATTTTGTCTTCACAACAACCCTGTAAGGTAGGCTAGGCTAAGAGGTATTGTCTATTCTGTAACTACCCACTGACCTTCGAAACCGAGTAGGATTCTGAACTTCTATCACTCTAGTCCTGGTGTAGAACTTTAACCACTGCTTCACACCATTTCACTTGTGTGTAACAGGGCAATCTTAATTGTGATGATACTAGTTTGCTTATATTCTAAAGATCCAGGTAGTGATAGCTGGCAGCTGATTTGTGGATGGAGGTACATAAAGGATGCTGCGTAAAGGAATTTTCATTGACTTCCCTCTTGCACCTGAGCGCCCCAGTGATTTGCAAGAAATGTCTTTCATCAGATGCAACTACATTCCTTCTGAAGGACAATAATTATTTACTGTAATGCATATCTGGTTACCTTGTAGATAAGTTGCTGCATTCGCTTGACAAGGGACTTCCCTGAAGAATAAGCTGCAGCTGGGGGAGAATATTGTGATCAGTTTTAAGGCAAAAAGGTGAGTGGTGTATATTCCACATGCTAACTCAGAGCTGAACGTATAATGCTGGTACCTCCCTATAATGCCTCGATGGGATTTCTCCCAGCATGTTTTAAGAAATTAATTCACCCCTTCAACTTCTGTGATCATAATGTATTAAGCAGGGTCTTTTCTGCAGTGGTGCCACACTTTTGGAATGCCTCCCCCAAGTAGGTTTTCTGGCTCACAGCAGGCTGTAAGATTTAAGAATCTTTCAGGCCCTCTGTGTTCACAGGGATCAAACACCAGCAGTAGTTTTCAGATTAAGTCAATTAGTGGTTTTATGTGTTTCACTCTTGCTTGCATGTCACTTTTGAGTACTTTTTACTTCAAAAGGCTGTTTAGAGATTTTAATACAATCGGTACCTGATTCAATTGCTACCAACAAACAGGTGATATGCTAGCTTGTACGCACAGTTTCACTGCAATCTAATACCATCCAAACCTGGAGCATCAAATTCCAAAACAGCTAACAATTTTCTTTATTCAGATCCCACATAGCAAATGTCAGATACAGCGGTTAGTCTAGAAAAATACATTTTAAAAAAATCTTCAGCAGACCACATCTCCTGTAACAAAATCTGAAACCTATTTTACAAATCAATCTACATTATTAATGTAAAAAGGAATCCTGAAATTTAGCATTTTCATTATATCCGAACATCCATCTATTCAAGCATAGGCTTCTGCTATTTATAGATGTTAGAATTTGTCATACATTTCTCTAATGTAGCTCCTGTACATATTAAATAAATCAGAGGCTCTGCTTGTAGTGCATTAACCATGTAAGCAAGCACACTCAGTATTTTTCCAGTACCGTTTGCATTACAATTATTTGCATGCAGATGTAATTAGCATTTAAAAGTGCACAAGTAGCCCATTTCTCTGTGGAAACTCAGACATCCATTTGAGGCATCACAATACCAGTTACTTAGCTACACATTATTAGAAATGTAGGACAAGGAGGTACTCTGAAACTATATGCAACAGTGTATATAGATATTTTTTTTAAAGAAAAAAAAAACACTGTTAGAATTAATTCTGTATTTACATCCAATTTCACTACCACAGGTTCATGACAATAATTCAGTACAGTGTGGAAATCAACCTTCAGTTAGGATTGTTAGGTACTATTTAGGTAAAGTGTAGCCCAAAACATATCCTGAAAAAATGAACTTTATTAGTTGAAAGCTCTGGTTCATCACAGATCATGGCATATCCTCTGCAGGATACGTGTACCAGTTCAGTGTGTGAAGTAATACTAGTGTGCATTCAAGAGAGCCAGCAAGAATATGTGCAAAGTTCAAACAATAAAAAAGCAAACCTCACGTGAGGAATTTACACTGGCCACTGTTAGCATTTGTTTAAGCCTGTCAAATAGGAATGCAGAAACCCTGTGGACAAGATACAGGAATGATCTTAAGGTTTAACACGTAAGCATATTATGTAATTATTCGCTAAAAATGCCCATGGAGGTTTTCAAAGTCAGTTTATGGGGGTTATATTCCCCAAAACAAAGTGGTGAACCTAAAATTAAAAATCAATATTAAAACACTATTCCAGGTTATCCAGTTTGAGATCGAGGCTTAGCTTCTCCCCGTGGAATCCAGTGTGTACTAGTTATGCAGTTTAAAACCTTGAAACATTCACAACATTAAGTGAACTGTAAATAACTTTTAATAGTTCCACAAAAGCGCAGGTAAAACAAATCACACACTCTTCCCTCTCCCACAAAAGTGCAAAAAACATCAAGTTGTTGCTTGGTCCACAAATGCATAAATGTACAAAAGAGGTGCAGTTTCTGCTGAAACCAAGTTGTTCTCCTACTAAGGCCAGTTTCACTGGAGAAATTCAGCGTCCAAAGATGGAGTTCAATTCCAGTAGAATTAATTCTACAATCTGGTTCTGATACACTGTGTGAACGGCTATGTTGCCAGTCTCTTTCTCTGGCTTCAACAGGGTTGGACCAAAGACTATGGCTATGCTTTGATAGGTCATTCGGTTCTTCTCTCCATTTTCTACAATTCTGAGAGAGAGGAGGGGGGAGAGAGCAAACACTGAACTTCCAATACAAATTCATATCACAAACGAGAAGGCAGATAGCATAATAACTTCCCTAATGAAATTCTGTATGCAGGTATCCTAATCCAGAAACACTGATATGTGCAAACATCTTCAACTAAGCAATTGTCACATTCACAGGATGCTTTCTCAGATTATAAAACGAATGAAGCCTGCGCATACTTTTTGTATCCTTCTGGAACTTTGCAGCATGATCAGTCTCCATTTCTCCCTGGGGAAGCACGCAGCCACATATATCTGCACCAATGCATATCAAGACCTCTCACAGACAGCTAAACCCCCTTTATAGGTCTGGCCCCTTTTTCCCACCACAAATTTACACAAAACTGAGTTTAAAAAAGCAATGCTTGAACTTGTTTTTCTAGAAGGCAGGCACAAGGGGGCTGGGACTGGCTGGGCAAGGTGACCTCCAGAGCAAAATAGAAACGTGATTTCATCATGTTTCTTTATTTCTGGATGTGAAAAACAGACCGAGCCACATTTTTCTTCCATGCACTACTTACCTCTTGAGATGTTTGAAGAGCACCTGCATGGTATCTTGATTTGGCTTTGGCAACTGTTTAATCAGCTCTTTTACAGCATGAACACGGTGTCTAGGCTCTTGTTCTGGAGAGGGAGAGGGGGAGAGAGAACTTTTAAGCACACTGCTTTTCACTGTTTATCATTTGATTGCAAGGACATTAGCTAATGCATATTACCACCTAGTGGCCATAGTGAACATAGCCATTCTACAACAACAAAACTAGAGAAAATGTATTTGCCTCTTGCAGAATTGACTCCTGAGACTTCTACAGCATCTTAATGCTGTGGAACTCGGCTTAAATGGGAATGGGCAGTTCACTACAAAAAGTAACTGTCCCTCTTAGATGTATATTTACACTTCTCCCTGTTTACAAAAGCTAAGAAAATAATTAAGTGATTCACCCACATGTGTGAAATAGCTTAATTAAATATGTGTGCATGTTCATGTGTAATTGTTCGCTATACTGAAAATCATATTCAATAATGTTTCAGATAAACAAAAGGAATTTTAAAAAGAGTGGGCCATATCCACGCAGTCTGAATTTCATATTCACTTTGCTTGGATATGTGCTTTGCATAATATAGTGCACTGCTTGACCATTTGCCTCACTTTGAAAATGAATTTGATTTTCATCATTTCTCTGCACCTACCCACTTAAGTGCTTTCTGTTTTGTTTCCTTTCAGCAGGAATGGCTAACCTTCAGCCCTCCAGGTCTGGCTGAACAGCACCTCCCCAACCATTGCCTATGCTGGCTAAGACTGATGAGAGCTGGATTCCAACAGCTGGAGAGCCACAGGTGTGCAGTCCAACTTTAAGGAATATTCAGAGCACTTCCCATACATAATTGTGTTGCAATTCTAACAATAGCCTGCAAAGTAGATCAGTATTATCCTAACGCTGCAGATGAGTATGAAGTTTTGAGGCCAACAGACTGTGATTTGTTTAAGCCACAATCCTAGTGAGGTCATGACCAAGGTGAAATTTGAATGGGGGGGGGCACTTTCTGATTTTGCAACTCAGTATCTTATTTTTGTATAACTGTCTGACATGGCCGTAGTTCTGAAGTTGCTATACAACTGTCTCAGGGTGGAAGGCTTCTTTAGCATATACTTACTGATTGCATTAACAAAGTCATTGAAATGAGTGTAAGTGAATAGTGGTTCTGGCAGTTCTCTAAAAAACATTTTCAGAGCTCCTGTAATCACATGGATATCTTCCCATTTACTGTCGTTCAAATCCAGTTTTTCATCTGAAACAGATACAGTATTAGAGTATTTAGCTACATGAGCCATCACAGTTCTTATTCTAGAATACAATGTTCAAACAAGGTATGAAGGGGTGTGTGTGCGCGCGTGTGTACACACACACAGTCATACCTCGGGTTACGAACGCTGCGGGTTGCGCACCGCGCCGAACCCGGAAGTACTGGAACGGGTTATTTCCGGGTACTTCCGGGTTTCAGCGCTCGCGCAGAAGCACCAAATTGCATCACGTGCATGCGCAGACGCTGTGGGTTGTGAACGTGCCTCCCACACGGATCACATTTGCAACCTGAGGTATGACTGTATATGCGCGCACACACACACACACACACACACGTTAAAGATTAAAAACCTACCCTATTTTTCGCTCTATAAAACACACTTTTTCCCTCCTAAAAAGTAAGGGGAAATGTGTGTGTGTCTTATGGAGCGATTGGAGGCTGCGCGGCGAAGCCAGAACAGGGAGAGGGAACGCTGCACAGCGCTCCCTCTCGCTGTTCTAGCTTCTGGCTTAGCTGCGCGAAGCCTCTGCAGGGCAGCGGGGTGCCTTCATCCGCTGCCCTGCGGAGTCTTCGAGGGCTATCCCAGAAGCCAGAACAGTATGAGGGAGCGCTGCGCAGCTTCTGGGATAGCCCATGAGGGCTCCTCGTGCCCTGCGGAGGCTTCACACGGCTCTTGCGGACTGCCCTTCGCCCACCTCCCAGAAAAGCCCCCAAGAGCCGCATGCTCTTTAAAGAGCCGGGCCTAGCGTGTCTTGGGGGCTTTTCCCCGAGGAGGGAGAAGGGCAGCCCGTCACTGACAGGCTGTCCTTTTTTCCACCTTGTAGAAAAACCTGCAAGAGCCGCGCTCCCTTTAAAGAACGTGCGGCTCTTGGCTGGCTTTTGCGGGAGGGAACAGAGGGCAGCTTAGCCGCGCGCAGCCTCTTCCAGTCAGGGGGAGCCTTCATCCCGCTCCCCAGGAGAGGCTTCGGTGGCTATCCCAGAAGCCAGATCCCTCTTGCTGTTCTGGTTTCTGGGATTCAGAACATTTTTTTCCTTGTTTTCCTCCTCCAAAAGCTAGGTGCGTCTTATAGAGCAAAAAATACAGTATTTCATAAACAAAATATAATTTGTTAGTTGATGTATTGGTACTTTACAGATGCTAAGAACTAAATAAATTTAGTGTTAACACTGCAAACTACTAATTGTTACGTATAGCAACTTACCATGATTAACAGCAAATCTCAACTTCTGTATTACTGCAAGATTGCCACTAACTCTATACAGCCCGTCAACATCCAATCCTAGAACAAATTTTAAAGTTTTGTTCAGTAAGTGGTTATAGGTGTAAATTCATATGTTTTAGAATGAACAACATTTATTTTAATAAAATGCACCAAAAAAAAAGAAATGATTACACTCCTTCAAAAAGGTGATACAATTTTCATAAACAAGAAGAATTATACAATATTCAGCATTTGCTGACAAACTCCTCCTTATATTCTATCACAATGGGCTTCCAATTGTCCTTTAGTGTTGGGGTTGTTGCTTTTCCTAGAGTCTCTTGAAGTTGGTAATTTTGCCCAGCATTTCAAGGCTTAACTGGACAGATGCTGGTAGCAGCCATCAAGAGTGGGATACACTGTCAGTCATCCTCGACCTCTCCATTGCTGCAGCAGCAGGCACTCAAATAGACTGAGAAGTTTGCTTCTGCTAATGCTTTGAAAAGTTCTGTCTGCTTGTTAAAATTAAATCTATGTGGCAAAGTGAGCTATTCTGGAGGTCAACAAGGTATTTAAACAAACTTGTTATTACAACATACTCTTGCATTTCTTTTTTGAAGCTGTAGACTGTGCCTCTCCTTTTGGAATAGCAGAAGGAACACAATCAGGCTGCAATCCTACATGCTTACCTGGAAGTAACTCGCATTAAACTCAGGGGGACATATTTCTGAATAGGCCATGATTGCACTATAAAGCATTAAAACACAGTTGTATAGGAATAGTTAAAAATGGAAAGATTCTAAAGTTTCTAAGCAAGTCATTTCCAGTAGTTAAGGAGGAAAAGGGCTGAGAAACTATTTTTATGGTTCACAGAGTGTACATTATGCCCAGATATGTGTCTATAGTAGTAACATGTCCTTCTATGTAAAAAATTAACTAAGCCTCTAACCAGTTACTATAAAAAACATTAATATTAAAAAGTGAGGTGTCTTTCACCTACCATGTTCTTCAACATATTCAATACACAGTTTCACAAATTTTGGCACAGTGCTGTTCTCTCTTTGACACAAGCTGTTTAGATTGCAGCCAAACACTTGATCTGAAAAACAGGGAAAGAAAGCAGTTTACAAGTGATTGAGCTGAACTTCTCAGAGTGAACAGGCTTCCAACAAAAATGATACCAGCTGGAGGGGATTCCCAACCAGCCTTGTCTTGCTAGCAGGCAGCAAGATATTGACATGGCCCATTGTGACACCTTTTGTACTGTACTCTAGCAGGTTATTTCATTTTGCAGAAAAGGGCCGTCCTTTCAGGAAGGGACTTGGGGTTGTACTTGTTTGTTCCCTGGCCCTAAAGCCTGGGGGGCAGGGGGGGGAGAGAGATGGCCCCTTCTCTCCAGGTGCTGTTTCCTCTGCTTAACCCCTCTGCTTACATGCAAAGAAGGAAATGCAAAGAAGCCAGCAACAAAAGATTGTCAGCACTGCTGTACATCTTCCCTCAATTTCACATCTTAAATTAGTGAAAGACTGTAATGTGATGCTCTGGGCCTCAGAAGGCATATAGCCAGAATGCGCAGCTAGCTTATTTTTATAGGAAGCTGATCTCTCCCCTTTGCTGGAAGCTAGATGACATCCCTGAAACTCCACTGCAGCATCATACAGAATGGAATGAGAAATCGGCTACCTTTTCCCTTCTGCTTGTGAGCGGAAATGTTGGCATGCGAAAAGAGACAAAATGAGGCACAGCACTTAATACCCATACTCAAGAACATAACCTCCGCTCCGTGTGGAAAGACTCCCCCTTCCTTCATTCCAGGTTTTTGAAAGACTTGGTTTTTTTGTAGGGAATTTTGTGTGGAACAGTTTCACAATAAGATTGGGCAAAATCCTCTTTCATTAAAGATGTGCTCCTATATGGCAACAGATGACAGAATGACCTAAGTCAGACCCTGACGTCTTCTGAACTTTAGACCAATTATAGGTCTGACTTGTAATATTTCCAGAGAAAAGCAGTTTCAAAAAACCCTTATATCCTCTGAGAATGGCATGCAGTTCAGAAGTTGCTCCTGAGTCAACGAGTTTGACCAGAATTGGGGGAAATGAAAGAGACCTTAGAATCGGTGGAACCAGAAAACTTGCCCAACTTTCTAGCAGTCCTCACCACCACCAATGGCAGGGTGAGAGCACACAACCTGGAAGACAAACTGATTTTTGGCTAAGCGGCACATCTCCTTTGCTCAGTGACAAGTCTAGCCTGACACTGCATCCCTGCAAAGGAAAAAGTGTGATCTGATGGATAGTGTGTTACATTTCTTACTGAAAACATCTGTATACAGATCCATATATGGATACAGAAAGGGACTGTCTGTGCAACATTCTGGGTTGTCTTGAGAAAAGTATTTTCTCTCAACCCAATGAGCCTTAGAGCTGCGAGGACACAAATATGTTAAGTGTAATCCTCAGAATAATACTGTTTTTGGTCTTTAACGTGGACACTTCAAAGGCTGTATTTCCTAGGGACGTAAGATACCCTTGGGGTGGGGAGAGCTAAGAAATACCGAGAAGCTGGCTATTTCCTCTTAGGACTGTAAGGCTTTGGCTGTATCACTGTTTTCCTGGAAGAGAAGCCATGTTATTTTGTTGCAGTAAAAACAAAGACTAACAAATGTGTTATGTCACAGGATGTGTTGTGGTTGTCTTGGGTGTTTGTTATTTTATTCCCTCTTTAGCAGGACTACAGTGGACAAAGAAAGTCCTTGTGGGAACTAATGGGAGAGGATATTCTCCTTCCACATAGGAATGTATAAGTGAAAGCCACGCCAGGTAAGCCCAATCACAATCCCATGCTGCAAGTAGTCTCTTTTTGTCCAGACATACAGAAAGAAGAACAGCAAAACCAGCCGTGGAAGCAGAAACAAGAACCATATAACACCAAATATTTTAAAGTTGAGGACTCCTCTAAAAAATGGAACGCATGCTTGTGCTGAACTTCATGCTTAATGTTTTCTTTCTGGGTGCACAGAGAGATTACACTGAATCTTCACTGGGAAGATTATAGTGTTTATTTTTATCTTGAAGAATTCTTTTGAATTTAGTCTCAACATGGATCTTTAGTGTGCAGCTATCTAGGATTTAAAAAATTAATGCTGCAAGCAACCAAGCTCACTCCTATTTCCTGAGGAAATAGCTATCCTACTCAGACGTAAGAAATTGATGTTAATAGTCTGCTAGCCAAGGGTTATTACAAATATTGAAAACAAAAAGCTTACCCTTGATATAGCCTTTTTCACGGACTGCTTGCAATGTGGGTCTGCGGGTTAAAAATTTCTTCAGTTTCGTTTTGGTCTTTTTCTGTTCTGAAGCATCAATGCTGCCAGATAATTTTATTGCTGCAAACGAAAAACAAGCAAGCTGCATATAAAAAAACTGGTGTGTTTTAAGCTATTTTGTCCTGATTTATAAAACATAGCCTGTGCTGAAGGTAAAATCCTCAGAAGACGAAATTGCAACATAATATCAAATCTGAATATCAACTAGGCAAGTTCCAAATATTTATGGCAGAGAGGGGAGACAGTTTCTTCTCTTCACTTGCTCAACTCAGAGCTGTGCTCTGCCCCAAAGCCAACTCATGTGACTGATTTATAATGCAATCCAATCTGCCATGGATTTGGCGTAGTTGAGACAGAGAATTCCTTCTGCCCAGCCCTGTTGGTCTCTGCTGGTGATGCCCCTGACCAAGTGGCCAGTGGTGGTGTTACTGCTGGAGGTTGGTGGAGGGGTGGAGCGAAGCATAGGAATTTACTCTGAATTTAAACTTACAACGAAGTTTTTTTGACTCTTTATGGTCCTTTTCTTTGTCCTGTTTTTCCACCCCAGGAGAATCTGGCACCTCATCATCGAATGGCTCATCAGACTCTACTGTCTATTGAGAATAAGAAAAGGATTCAATGTCTTTGTTGCTACCCAGTTTAACAGCTCTTCTTTATTTTTTAAAGTAACATCCTTCATATAACACCATTAGGATGATTTCAAAATTACTAACACATGATTTAATGAAACTGATAAAATGATTTTGAAGCCATTTTCATTTTACAATGGAACATAGATTTCCAATGGACTCCCTATCCACATGGCATCTGTAAATCAATTTTGCAAGCAGAATTGGCACTGCTGCGAGCAAATTAATCACTCGTTTGTATGACAAAGATGCAACATTGGTGTAATCTGCACTGAAAATTGGTCTTGGTGGTTTCATACTCTGGAAACACCTGTTGGCAAAAGTCTTCTCAAGCAAAAGATCAGAACTATACAGTTAAGTCAGCCTAACAAATCTCTACTGACTCTCTCGGCTAAACATCTGACGCTAATGGAATCATTCAGTTAGTGCCAGGCAAATCCTGTGCAAACTGGGAAAGCTGTTGACAATGTCCCAGTAAAGCTACGTACCTGGAACATGATGTTTGGGGCAGCATTTCAAGCAAACTGCCAGTTATTTTATTAGTAACTTAATTGTTTGACCTTAATACTGAAACACCATGATTCTCCACTCTAAAATTCCTTCTAGGATTGCAAAATCCAGCACTTTTCCTTCTCAAGTAAGTCAATCAGCAAAATAGTTAACTGTCCACATTCGCTGCTCTGAGCACCCACAGATTTACTATGCATAAGCCTAAGAAAATAGAAACTAGTTTTCTAGTTAGAAAGCTATAAATCAGTTCTAACCCTCTCTACCCTAACCTATTTCCTCTTTGTAAATCAGAGAAAAAAATCTTTAACCCTGGAAATTCAGGAGTCATTCAGAACAAAGGTACAAAAGGAACAACAGATATATGCATCACTCAATAGCAGTTCAGAGCCTACAGAAAGTGCAAAAGCATGTTCCTGCTTAAGAAGGTCCTTTTCTTCAGTAGCTAAATCAAATCTTTAACAGACTAAGCAAAACTGAAACACCGATAAATCTGTACAAGACATATTTGTCCGCTTGGGACAAAACTGGTAGACATTTGAGTATCTCAAGAATCTAAATCTGTATATGCAGCAGTGAAAGTGATAAGATCATTAGGTGCAATGCCACAAGTTTATCAACGCCACATGCTAAACACTACTGCAGGGATTCCTTTGGAAATTGCAGTACAGGAACACATACATCTGCACATGCCTCTTCTCAATCCCAAAATAATATTGGACTGTATCAAGGGACAAAGAAATGGTCCAAACAAGTCTTGAAGACCTGGCTGCAATTCAGCTCACACAGTATATACTTCAGGACATAAGCTAGAAATGTCTAGTTCATATTCCACATAAACCATGAACTAGATAATGTTCCTTTTTGAATCTCAACATTTGAACATATTTTTATCATTATATTCTTATTGTGGTTTGCAGTCAACTAAACTTTACTCAGAGGAGACCCACTGAAATTAGTGGCTAATTTAGGTACATTAAACGTTAGTTGGACACAACCCTCAATTAGAACTACAAGAATATCTTTTTTCCTCTATTGGCCATAATAAAGATGATGATCTCACTAGCTTATTTTTATTATCATTGTCCTATTCAGTTTTCCCACCCTTCATCCCAAAAGAGCCCAGGGCGGGAAACAAATCATTAAAAACATTATAAAAACAATCCTCATCCACTGATGTGTCTCAAAATTCCAGAGCAATTGCTGCTTTGGTCCTATATTGTGGTTTAGTTGTTTCAGGGTGAAGTATTCCTCAAACGATCAAGCAAGAGGTAGAAATGGAATGGTGGTGGGGGAGAGCAATAACTTAGATTATAAACTTTTATCTGCAAACCATCATAAGTACATACCTGGTTACTGATAGCAAAATTAAGAACTTTAAACCATTCATTTACAGAAATGTCATTATCCGACTGGATTAATAATTCAGTTCCTTGCCGTGTTTTCAGCTTTAAAATAAAAAGAAATCTGGGCATTAGAATGGAAGTACGTATTTTATGTGTTGCTCCAAAATACCCGACCACTAGGTCAATTACTATATTATACTCTATCTATTCTAAGAAACCCCGACAGTTTAAGACATTTATATGCCACTTAAGTATTCACATTTCTAAGTTATAAGACTTCTAAAGGTTTGTCGTAAATATTTTTTGTAAAATGCTTAACTCGTTACCCATTTTTTTCTATGGTCATGTTAAGTACCCAAAATAAAGTTAGGCAAAAACAGTCACCTCAATCACATTCTTCTTGCTAGATTTCTCCTTAGAAGCCCAGTCGACAAATGCACCCCTGAGATCCACTGTGAACTCTGGCTTGGATTGGTTGACCCCAAACTTCTGGAGGGAAAAACAAACATTGACATTTTGTTTTTAGAGGGCTTCCCTGCCCCAGACATTGCACAACCTGCCCATACAGGCAATGACTGTTTTCGGCGTGTCCGACACGTGTGCAACTGGGCACACGTGCATCACGCCAAACTCAGAAGTTACCCCAAAAGTCACAAAAGGGAGTGGGGCAGCGGTTTGCAGGCTGTTTCAAATACACACAATTTCACATAAACACATGATGCCTTGGAACGTAACCCCTGCGTGAATTGGGAGTTGCCTATATTATATTCCTAAATTCCCACCGCAACACTTGTCTCCACCATGGCCCTGTTGGCTACTGACGTTTAGTGGCCTGGACAAGGGGTCTACTTGTGTTTTGTCTTAACCAACCTTGGGAAAGATGGGCATTTCAGATGGCTTGGGAGTGCTTACAAATCCCCATTTTGAATTCCATCAGTTTAAAAGAGTCACTTCTTTGTTCCACGGGTGTGGGCCACTTCATACAGAACAAAGCTTCTCCACTAGGAGAGCTGCTTGTTTTAACCCCCACCCTGCAATCGCTTGTACTGCATTAATGCACGGTTATCTCCACATGGTTGCATTAACAGTAGAGATGAGGGGGAGGAGTCTGAAAATACAGTAACTTTCCAGTACTTACCCAGCTAGTCCCACCTCCTTGAGTCTTGGTAAACAATAACGAGGGACCTTGCAATACAGCCCATGATGACATCCAGTTTTTTCTGTAGGAGAGGTAGGCAAATGTACACAGTCAAGGAGATTGATCAAATAACTGAGACTGCCCAGTGGTGCTTGACAAATGACCCTTTGTATTACCGTGTCTACAGGTATAGCTGTTATTGACAAAAGGCCAATTTGGCCTGCTGAAATCACTGAAACAGGAATGCCTACATAAAAGCAATCCTTTATTTTGAGACTAACTAGTCACATCCAGCTTGTCTGTACAGAGCTTGTCTGAGGCCTGGGGTGGGAATAAAGCTATAAATTCAAACAAAAAAGGCAGTCGGTTCCTGGCAGGGGCCCCTGGCCAGCTGTGCCCTCCAAAGCCAGGGGCCAGTGTGCCCATCTGCCCCCACCCACCAGCATGGGCCTGAGCCACAGTAGCTCAAACTTACAGCACACACTATATCACATTTGTGTGTTGTATGTGCAATATGTAGCCAGGCTTATTCTATTTATTCTCTTACATTAAAATACTCCGTTTAGAACCCTGACAGTTGCAAAGAGAGCCACTACAGATTGGCTTCAACCAATAGCACTGCAAAAATGTTGTATTTATTTCACTTCCAGAAAACTTCCCCAGAAAATCCAAGTAATACTGACAGAAGAAACTTAAAATTGCTTTCCTAAACATGCTCCTTGTGGGGAGTGTGGCTGCAGGCTTTAAAATGCTGATCAGTTCCTTTAAGTTTCACTGAAACAGGGTTTCTTTGCATATAAATATGCTGACAAGTAACCCACTTGCAACCTTACATTGCTTTGATGATTGAATGTTTGCCTGACCAAATTTAAAATACCTAAACGTCAAAACTTAGAAGTGTGCTGGAGATACTTGCCGAACTTTTTTCCCATTTTCTGTAATCTTTGTCACATTTAATAATCCATACTTCTCTTGGTCCTGGGGAAGAGAACAAACAGAAAATCAGTTTTAAAAGCAGCTTGTTATTCCTTTAAATTAGAAAATAATCTCTTTCCTTCCACAACTACTTTCAAGAAGAGCTAAACAGCTGACACCTGAACTGCAGAGACATGGTTCCTTGAACTTAACATTAACAGCACAATCCTATATGTGTCTACTCAGAGGTAAGATGACTAAATTCAATGGGGCTCGCTCCAAGATAAGTGGGTATAGGATTGCAGCCTTAAATGTGCTAAACCAGATTTTTAACTAATGTTACTAAACCACAACATTTTTTTAAACTGATGTAACCTACCTGCTTACATCTGTTCATTATTTGTAGCCTAAAAACAAAACCTATATATTCTCAATATCTGAAGCATTTCTGTTTTCACAGTTTATTCGTGGTAAACAGCTTGCTCCTAAAAATTGTGTTTGCTTGACAAAACAGATTGCCAAATCCATCAGAAATGCAGTGCAGTTGTCTACACCTGATATTATCTGCACCTTAACGAATTGTTATTATTTATCAGATGCTATGTGATTTAGATGCTGAGCGAGTTTTTAAAACAAGAAATTCATTGAGACGCTTTACTGAGTCTGTTTTATCCATCTCAAGTAAACACTGATAGTCACCCCTGACCATTGGCCATGCTGGCTAGGGTTGATGGGTCACAGGTTCCCTGGCCTGATCTAAAGTAATAGTGTACAAGGGCATTTTGTAAGACTCGGCTGTAAGAACTCAAACTATACACTCTTCCTATGTAACACAGATCTCAAAAGTATCAGGCAGACCTCCCTATCAAGGTGTGAGAAACTGCTAGTGACTGATGTTATCTAACTGGGTCACAGGATAAAAAGTAGATTGCCAGTGACTGCAATATGGAAAAGCAGTATTGTGTTTATTAATGTTATGAGGAGCCAACAAGGCTGCTTTAAAAAAGGACAAAATGCCTCCTTTAAGGAGGACTGGATAACACCACTACCTCCATTTTCTGCTGATCTATTTGAACACAGTGTTCTTATGAAGCTGCCTGGTTGAACAATGCTGGGGACATGACTAAATCCTATATATCTTACAAGTCAACAGAAGATATGCATCTTCTAAATACTGCTCTAGAAGCTGCTGAAGTTGATTACATTGAGAAGGCCCAACACAAGAAGCGGCTTCAATCTCTTTCCTGACACAGAATGATCCACTATGTGATGTGTAACAATGTTCTGCATACATTAACAACCATGGATTTGCCTCAGACTAGTGAGCTCAACAATCTGTGTATGACAATATTTATACTGACTGTGGCTTGATGCTTTGGTGAGGAAGGAGAATACTCATTCTCAGGAAAAGCGGTCTTTGAAGCAACCGGAGAATCCTAAGGAATAAAGATGTATTGAAATATTTATAACACAGAAATAAAGTAGAATCTCCTTAAGCTTTACAGAATTTGGACATAACAGAAAATGTGTCTGATACTGAGATACTGGAATGACAATGAGTTATGTTCAAATTAAAGCAGTCATTCCTTTCATTAATTTTTCTAGTACAGTTTTTTCCTTGCACAAATTTAATTATCTACCAATACTATCTATAGATAAATCATATGTCAGATACTAACTTGCTCATGGTGTGTTGGGAACAAATACGCAGGATTAGGCAAGAGAGGATCAGAAGAATTAGTTGGCAACTGTAAAAATACAAGAACTATTTTAATATATCATTATTGCTTCATAGAGTCTGTTATCTTGAACATAATAAAATAATGTATATTCCAATGTCATCTAATCAGAACTGATTTGCATCCTTGGAGAGTGTCAAGCTTTTGAATTATGCATAAATTATGCATTCCACACACACACCCCAAAAAATCTGCTAACTTGAAATATTAAGGAGGTTAGAAAGAAAGTGGAGACATGTTTCCTGAAGGCAGGCCAATGATCATTCTTTGTTAAAAAGCAGAATACAATTCCTGCAGGGATAGCTGATACAGAAAGAACTGCTTTGTAGTGAAGTTTCTTTTCCTGTGTTGTTGGCAACTATGTTACCAAGAGAAATTCTCTTTATGCTTGAGGACAGGTTAAAGGTTCCTGAAATTCATACCTATCTCCATCCAAAACTCCTGTTCAGTTTCTTTAGTACTGAAAAGATTTGTAAACTTGGGCATTAAAAGGCAATTCCCTGTATTTCTGATATTAAGGCATAAGCACCAACACTTATGTAGCCAAAATGGCACCACCCATACACAAACAGAAGACAGGACAGAAATGTACAAGAAGCCCGGTGGGAAAACCCTGAGAGAAGGACCCCAAGAACTGCCCTTGTGCAGTCACTAACCACAGAATGCTAACTTGACTTGGGGTCAAGGGTGGAATGGAAAACCAGATCAGAGGAGGGCATGGCTGTGAACATGTGATCTCCAGGATGCAACATTTTGTTGCCAGTTCATTTTTATTTTTTTTACTCAAACCCCTTGCCATCTTTGGCCAGATTCATCTTTGCATATTCTGTTTCTTAGATTCCTTCTACTAAAAATTGTCTTGAGGAAACTTACAGTATAAAAACATCCAGTACAGGGATAGCAGCAAAAAATTCATTTTTCCGATACAATTCTAAAAGCAATACCACTGCCCAAACCCCCCACAATAGAGACACATACCATAACTACAACAAAGCAAACCAATTTAAACATCCAACAGAACAGACTGGAAGAAGAGTTGTTTATGCCAGTGTCAAGCAGGCTTCACTGGAGAGCACAAACAGGGGGCCACAACCCAAAAGACTCTCACGGTCGTCGTCCCTCCCGAGCTTTGATGTCCTTATTGTCTTCTGCTAGGATATCTCAAGGACCTCCTGTTCCCGTATGATTCTGCCCAATGGCCATCTTTGGAGACTTTGCACCACTTACACTCTCTCACACACATGCAGTAGTGGTACTGTGGGAGACTGTAACACAGTGGTGGCCAAACTTGGCCCTCCAGCTAATTCTCATCATTCCTGACCACTGGTCCTGTTAGCTATGAGATGATGGGAGTTGTAGTCCAAAAACAGCTAGAGGGCCAAGCTGGGCCACCACTGCTTTAACACAATTGTCTCTCATTAGTGGGTTCCACATTATGCAACCCTCTCCCTAAAGAAACATATCTGGCCTCTTCACTACTTCAGTTGCATGAGACAGTTCCAAAACATACTTTTTCATATAACTGCAGAACCAGAGGGACAGGCGACATCTGCTGCTTTGCATTGGTGCCTGTTGCTTTACTGTTTGGTCATCCTTGCTCCCATTGCTTTGTCTGAAATTTCTTTTTTATTGTTTGTAATCTTGATCTTACATAGACTGTGCCTTGAGATTTTTATATATATATATTTTTAGATACAAAAGCAGCATATAAATGACGTCTAACCAAATAAAAATGTTGCAGTTGGTGGCCATGTACACCAAACCATGGTTTAGTGCATCATGCACAAGCTGGAATTAGCCTTAGGAACCCTTGCCCCTCCCCACTCCTTCCATACGGCCAGGAGGTAGACTGTGTTTACTTTTATTTTCCTTGAATACTGGCTTGCCACTGCATGCAAACCAAGTATCATGGTGTATAACAAACTCAGGTTAATTTAACAAGCCGATTTCATAACTCATGGTCTGAAATTGGCTTTGTTTTGAAGCTGTCCAGACTTGATTATTAAATCATAAGCCAGGGAGGCATACAATGAGACAAGCTTTGGGGAAATTGAAAATAAACAGTGCTGAACTACTGTTCCTGGTCACACAGGAGGAGCAGAGGGAAGGGAAAACCACATGAACCTGAGGCTCACTTGAGCCTCTTTCCAGCTCCTGCTTAACTATGACTTTGCATGACTTCAAAAAAATCAGGCCACTGAGCTCAGGGCAAGACATTAAAACTGCTGCTGGGAAGACAGCCAAGGTAGGAGCCCAATTCCAAAAGCTAGCAACTCCATTATCAGGGGTACAAGGCAGGTTCTGTACCACTGACTTCTTTAGGAGAAAACAAGTACAGCCTGTCATAGCAAAGTTTGCTTTAATAAGAGCACATTTAGAAATGAATTGTTTTTCTGAATCTAACACAAAGTAAACAATCTACATTAATGTAAGAATATATTACATTAATGTAAGAATATATTACAAACATAACTGTACAATAATTATTTCGCTGAAAACACAATTAGTCAGGCTAAGAGTGCAGCCCTACACCCACTTATCTGGGAGTAATCAGTGCAACTTACTTCTGAGTAGACAACTTATAGGATTGCACTGTATGTAACTTACAGGGATCAACCTAACCATTTTGCACCAGTGTTTTTCTTTTCTTTTTTAGTGCACAGTAAAATAAAAAATATACATAATAAATAATACACGACAACTGATCAGACTCCAGTATGTTCTTTAGGACATTCCTACCTTGTCATTAGTGTCCAACACAATTGAGCTGTGCCTCCATTTTGTTAAAACTATTGGTTCCTGTAGCCTCCTGTCCAGACTCCTGCTTTTAATAATCTCCCTTTGCTGCTGTGGCGAAGCATTAAACTATTAAAAAAGAAAGCAGAAGGAAATCCATACAGTGTAAATGTATTGTACTGAAACAAAGGCAGGTGAAGCACATGCAATCCATTCTTAGCTGCTTTCATATATACAAACCTGCAAAGAGAAAGGCTACACTTCCCCCCATGTGTCATCTCTTTCCTCTAAAATAGTCAACAGAAGTTTGCCTGGGGCCTGGTGCATTGCAGCATGCCACAGCTTTTAGTCCTGAAATTATTCAACTGAATAAGGGCTCTGGAGTGTAATGGCCCCACTTGCATCAAGATATGAAGGATTTCCAACCAGCTACCTGAATATGCATGCCAAAGGGAATCTAAATCCAAAGCACTGTGTCAAGGCATGCCAGGGATGGAGCCATGCAGAACCAAGGATGGAGACACATGAGGCCCTTATATATCCAACCCACTATGGACTATTCAAGTCTTCATGTACACAAGTTTAATTTTGAAGGAAGCAATTTTACAGGAAGGGAAATAGCTAATAGAAAACTTACCCTGATAGTTAAAAAATTAAAAACTGGAAGCAAGGAAGCCAGTCAACCAACTTTTGCAATTGCTACGTCTACATCAAGGCTTGGCAGCTTTTCATATTTGAAGGTAGCTTAAGTAGCAGCAAGTAGTGCAGTTTCTCCTGTACAGCTGTAGGAGGCACCTGCCATTTACTTATGTACAATTACATTCATTCAATGCCCTTTAAACATGCATGGTGCAGTCCTTTAGCTAATATAAATTTCAGATACAGCCCTTAACTGGTGACTAAGTTGCACACCCCTTGTATATAAACATATATAAATTACTGGAATAAGCTTACAGGGCCTTAATAAACCACACTGTTTAAGCAATTTAATTGAAGGGATGATTTGGAAGAAGCAATTTCAGAGCAGAAACCTAAAATGGCAACATTATCTAACAAAGAGTAATATAGCAATTTAAACAGACTTCCTCCTCCCTCCCTAACTCTCTTCCCCTCCTCTTCTTCTGTGCCCAGCCACCCTCCTAACTCTTTTGTATGTTAGGATGTCTTGCTTAGTCTGTTTTTTAAAAAATGAATAAAAATTATCACAAAAAACAAAAAGTTAGCCTCAAAGAAAGGAGTAACTTGGGTCTTGCTTCACATGCTACAGGTTGCATGCAATGAAGACTTACGTCAGAGTAATTCCAATGAAATCAATGGACTTAAGGCAGCCATGACAACTAGTCTCAATATGTCTGTTGTCAGGATGACTTCACTGAATGCAACCCAATGGATTAAAAGTTTTTGAACATTTAAAAAGTGCATCTGTTAGAGTTGCCATGTGTCCTCTTTTTTCCAGGACACGTCCTCTTTTTCAGGGGTAAAATTTCTGTCTGGGTGGATTTTTTATATTTGCGAAAATGTCTCTGGCTATACTTTCTGGATGAGACATAAACATTAACCAGTGGTTGAAGACTTGCTTTCCTCTTCTCCTGCCACCCTCAGCAACATATCACAGCTTCTATAGCCTACATATAGTAGGGGTATTTAAAATGAGTTGTCATAGCGTCCTTTCTTTTGCTCTTCAAAATATGGCAACCCTAAACTGGTCTCAGTCGAAATCAGTGTTTCTCAAACTTGGTTCCCCAGCTGTTGCAGGACTACAACTCCCATCACCCCTGACCACTGGTCCTCCTAGCTAGGGATGGTGGAAGTTGTAGTCTGGGGAACCAAGTTTGAGAAACACAGATAAACCAATGGAACATGATGGTTTTCCATGCAATTAAGTATTTAATTTGACCTGGGAAGAAGTGGGGAGGGGATTTATGTTCAATACAGTGGTACCTCCGGTTACAAACTTAATTTGTTCCGGAGGTCCATTCTTAACCTGAAACTGTCCTTAACCTGAGGTACCACTTTAGCTAATGGGGCCTTCCACTGCTGGCACGATTTCTGTTCTCATTCCTGAGGTAAAGTTCTTAACCTGAGGTACTACTTCCGGATTAGCGGAGTCTGTAACCCGAGGTACCACTGTATTAAAAGTGAACTAATTTATAGGGCTACTGGAAGTTACGCTCTCAGCACAAGATCCCAACCTATAACAGTGAACTATACTACAGCAGAGGACTGCAAGTGTGGCAGGAAGATTCAAGGACAATAAAAAAAATTAAACATTTCAACATAGCATAGTATAGCAGAGCAACTGGGAAACACTGGCCTGCAAGCACTTTAATTGGAGAACAACCTTTACCAAAAGGTGTCATGGGTTTTGAAGATGCTCGAACTCAGGATGAAAGGGAGAAAAGCGCTAAGAGGAAGGCACACTTGGCAAACCCTCACCATGATCAACTCCTGCTTGGAAACCTACATCCCCACTGTGGATCCAGAATTGGCCTCCACAGTCACTTACGGTCTCACTTTTAAAACCATGTTTATGGAAGACCATCTTACTCGGCTACGAGTGATTGCCAAAGAAAGAAGAGGAAGAAGCATAGTATTAGTATAAAAATAATATTTTAATTTGCAGAATATGGATAGACAGCTTTTCAGAATCAAGCACTGCTAAGAGTTGTTTCTTTTTGTTTTCCAATGTATTTATCAATTTTAAAAATTGGTGTGCTATGAGCAAATTTTTATTCTGAAAGTGTGGCCCAGAGGAAAAAAGTTTGAGAACCAGTGCTCTTAAGAGTCTGAGCTGCAATATTAAAGGTGAACTATGCTCCCGGGCATTCATAAGCCACTTTCTCCCTTAGGGGTTTTGTTCCCTTGGAGTTTTCCTTTCAGATTTTGTGTGTCTGCAGGTATTTTGCAAACCTCCAGTGTGCACACACGCATAGCCCAAGCCTGCTGATCCTCTCTCTTGTGTGGGGATGTTGTTATTTTGAATGCACAACCACGCACATGGGAAAACTCAAATCTGTATTAGAATGCTATATAAACAGAATTCTGAATTGTGAAGGGAGGTTTCTTTGCCATTAAATCAGTGCAGGGAAAGGCAAGGCAGACTGGAAATGCTGAAAACACTCCCATATTTGGCCGGAGAACAATCAGTAAATTTTTTTTTACATGCACAGTAGAGAAATTAGAATCAATTGAGGTTTTCTATGTTAACTTGCATGTTACTGGAAAGTATTACATTTCTTAAGTTAGGCAATTATATCCCACCTTTTTATGATAAGATATACACAATGTTTCTTATAAAATAAAAATATGGATACGTTATAATGATCCTAACAGCAAAACAAAGAGTGTAAAAAATGATATTAACAATGTCCAGAGACAGCAAACTAAAATCCATATAATCATAGGCTCTGACTTTTTAAAAATGCTGTCATAATAAAATGGTTCTAAGTGCCTGTTTAAATAATTAAGAGCCTGTGATCATCATCATCATCTTTGTGTGCCTTCTCTAAGAGAGGTCCAAAGGATGGCAACGTGAGAATGGGCCTTTTCTGCAGTGGCTCCCTATTTGTGGAATGTTTCTCTTTCTCTTTGGCTGATTAACATTCTATGTCCTTTAAAATGTGTTGGAGGGAGGAGAGTTATTGGTTTGTGTTTTTTGTTTTTATTATGTATTTTGTGTTCTCATTTTGTACTTTCATGTTGTGAACAGTCCTGTGATCTTTGGATGAAGATAATAATAACAAAAAAGAATTTGAAGCAGTCAAAGAGGGGACCAAGCTATTCAAGGAAGGAGGAAAACGCTATTCCATAGTTCAAGTGCCACAAATGAAAATGCCCTCTCAGAGTTATATGAATTTTAACTTCGTTTTCGCTCTCAACCATTTATTCTCTTGAATTCTTTTATTGGAGGACTCTCCCCTGTGGCATAACTTCAGGCAAAATCTTTTATTAATACCCAGCAACACTACTGCAAAAATCAATCTAGACACACTCATGTTTTTCCTAAAACATCCTTTCTGAGTAAAACTGCACATAATTTACAGTTCTCTCACTTAAATAATTTTCTGAAAAATCTCTAGAGAAGTAACACTATTGACTACACTGAAATAGACTGGGTTGGAAGGTAGTTCTGGAAGGTCCCACAATGCTCCAAAACAGGAAGAAACAGCAAAAATTTCTTCCTTCCCCCCCTCTTCACACAGGAGCAGCAGCATCGTGTGAGTGAATTTCCACTTATGGGAACTTGAGACCCATCCCATTAACATTATGAAAGGATGAAACAATACAGAAGAGAAAGAGAGATACCTATTCCTCTCAACCTCATGAACAGGACAGGCACATAAAGTTTCTGAAATAAGGCAACAGAGACCACATCCCAGAATATATCCAGACTACTCATACGGCCTGGTTACTTTGGGGGGGGGGTTACACTACAGCTGCTACATGCTGAGCAGTTCACCTTCACAAAAAGAAAGCAACTGGAAAAGAAACCAGAGGGAACCCCAGAACTAAATGAAAGCTCTTTGGAAACCTTCATCTTCTCAATTGCAGGTACATTTTCAAAGCTCTTCTCTGCTCAATGTACGGTGGAGTTTTCTGCCCATTTTAACAGTACAGTTTCATTATCAACTTCTATGAGTTTGGACGGGTGAAGTTGCCACAGAGTAATCCCGTGTTTCTAACTATACCAGTTTTGTCCTCATTTGTAGTGATCAGAAGTGAAGACTGCCTTAAGTCTTTGGTATAATGGTCAAGTGCTATCTCTACACAGACAGAGCATGCCTGCTTATGGGTTTTTATAATATACAACCTGTCTGCTTTGAGAAGCAGTAAAACTGGGACAGATGAGCTTTTTGTGTTTTTTTTTTTTTTAAAAAAAAACCTTGTTACTTCAACAGCACACGCCCTAAAATAATACATAATGTAGAATACTAAGTAAGGTAACTGAACTGCACGAAGACTAAAAATATATTTTGTCAAGATGTGCAAGTCCTATAATCTGAACAGGTGCCGAACTGGAAGGGATGGAGATGATATGAGGGCACTGCCACTCTTAAGGGAACATTGGCATGTGCTAGAGAGCAGCAACTGACAGGATGGATGCAGTTAGAAGATCTGACTGTCAAGGAAGTATTTCAAATACAAAATCCCAGTGATGCGTCAACACAGAAGGTGTGTTATAGTATAGTAAAGTGGAAGGCTGATCGCCGAAGAATTGATGCTTTTGAATTATGGTGCTGGAGGAGACTCTTGAGAGTCCCATGGACTGCAAGAAGATCAAACGTATCCATTCTTAAGGAAATCAGCCCTGAGTGCTCACTGGAAGGACAGATCCTGAAGCTGAGGCTCCAATACTTTGGCCACCTCATGAGAAAAGACTCCCTGGAAAAGACTTTGTGCTGGGAAAGATTGAGGGCACAAGGAGAAGGGGACGACAGAGGACGAGATTGTTGGACAGTGTTCTCGAAGCTACAAACATGAGTCTGACCAAACTGCGGGAGGCAGTGGAAGACAGGAGTGCCTGGCGTGCTCTGGTCCATGGGGTCACGAAGAGTCGGACACGACTAAACAACAACAACAACAAAAGTGGCTCCAAATCATCTGAGTTGAGCCATGAATTCACTAGATGGTCTTAAGCAAGTCACCATCTCTCAATTCCAGCCTTCAGTCTGTAATGTGGGAACAGTATTTTAAAGAATTGGGTTTTTTTACAGGACTGTTTTAAGAATTGCTAAGGCTATGTCTGAAGCAGTATATGTTTGCTATGAACTGACACAGTAATATTACCAGTCTTGCTTTGCCAGTTACAATCAATTTGCTTAGGCGATAAGAGATACCCCATGTGTCCGTATGGATTCCAAACCATGCTGAAATGGGTAGTAACATTCTGTGAATTAATTCAACCCATGCAATGCCACTTACACTGTTATTCATGCCTACAAACTTTTGGTTAAGGAGTTGGGGTGGGGGAGTGGAGGAAACAGAACCAGTCATGTGAGGAAAGATGCACACACATGTTATAGAATAGCTATCTTAGTCAAAATTAACAAATGAAATTACTCTTGGGGAGTCATGTGCTATGTTGTTTGTAGGAAGGTAAATAAGAAAGGTGAAGCCTATTCTCTAGTTTTCTGATAAAGTAGCCAGATTAAGAATTGCAAGGGGGAGGACTATTATTTTACAGATGTCTCTGTTTTGGGCATTGCATACATCATGGGGTAAGCACCCGTGACTCACCTGTCTGCGGTAGGTGGGGTTTGAATTTGCCTCCGTTTTCCCCCTCAGCTAATCCTCTCCTTCTGCTGTGAATGGCTGCAGAAGGTAGACCGTATATGAGCCTACAGTACATACAGAAGATGCCTCCTGCCCATGCAATACTTACGCAATCAATTAATCAAATCTGTAGTAAGGCCACACAGAAAGACACTAGTGTCATACTGGGCTTAATTACATTGGTCCAAGTAGGCAATATTTGAATTGAATAACTTTGCAACTCATATGTTTTGGAGTACAGATTTACAAAAATAGGAAGGCTCCTTCTATAGCAGGCTTTCCTGATGCTACAAATCATAAAAGACAGGAGTGGCAGCTGAGATTTTATACAGCAGAAAAGTTGATACCATGGCTTACAGATTATTTTCCAGTCTATTCAGAGGCATTTTAGTTCAATTCCATTAGGCTGGTATCATAGGTCAACATAATCCTACTGTGGTACAAGCCAAGACCCTCTATAAACCCTTTCCCTCCAGAGTACCATTCTTGAGGTACCACTATGATAAAAATTTGTTTACTAAATCTAAAATATTACACGGCACTTCCACGTAAAATAATGGATTGCTGTTCCAACATTTCTACAAAGGTGCATGAAGATTTTTCTGCTATTCCTTGACTCTTAATTTTCCAAATTCATTCCCAAATCCACTGGTAACAAACAAATACAAAATATCAGAATTAACATTAGAAGTATTCTCATTCCAATGCAGAGAGCACAGAATGTGACAGTATTGATATTCCTGGAACCTTCCCTAGCATTCATCTCTGTTATTAATAAGCAGATAAAAATAGTCAAGGCTGTCTGTAAATTAGCATGAGGGGGAAATGGATAACAATCCTAGATGTATGTGGCAAAACTGATTTCCACCCCTTCCCCAATCAAATCACTTAAGTGTTTTTCTTGCATTAATTGATCCAGTACATTTGGTTGCAGACTAAAGTTGGCAGCTACGTCGCATGCTGAGTATTCCTTCTGGCTCTCACCTCAGGCTAGAAACAAAGAACTTGGTTCATTTCTTATTCCTCTCCAAGTCTGCCTTGTCTAGGATAAGGTGAAAGGACATGACAGGGAAGACAGAGATATCTAGCTTATGCGTATCATACCTCAGTGAGTTAGTTGTAGAGCCTGATGAAGAATTTTCAGTTCCCCAAACCTAGTACTGAATTCAAGGAAGCTATAGGCATTAAGAAGAGTGCCACAAATGTCAGAAAAATTATCCAAATTAAGATTTGCCAGTATCATTAAGAGAAAAATCCAATCTTGTGTCACTTAAAAACACACACAGCAGTTTGTTAAAGAAAATCAGCCCCTATATACCGTACTTTTCGCTCTATAGGACGCACCGGACCATAGGAGGGGGAGAACAGGGGGAACTTTTTTTTTCTTGTTCTCCCCCTGTAAAACAAGGTGCGTTCAAGGTGCATTCACCTAAAGCCTCCGGAGCGCAGCGGGAGTTAGCGCTGTGCTCTGGAGGCTTCAGGCGGCTACCTTGGAAGCTTGGAGAGTGAGAGGGCTTGGTGCGCACTGACCCCTCTCGCTCTCCAGGCTTCAGTGAAGGCAACCCGAAGCCTCTGGAGCGTGGCAGTAGTTCCCGCTGGACTCCGGAGGCTTCAGGTTCCTTTCGACCTGCTCTTTGGGGCTGGCAGGGGGAAGCGCTGCTTTCCCCCACCGCCAGCCCCAAAGAGCAGGTCGGGGAACAGCGCAAAAGCTGCACGCAGCCTTGCCGCTGCCCCCCGAGCTTGAGGGGCAGGCGGTGGGGGGAAGCGCTGCTTTCCCCCACCGCCATCCTGAAAGATCCCTGAAGCCTTCGGAGCACAGCGGGACCTCGCGCTGCGCTCCAAAGGCTTCAGGTTCCTTTTGCTGACCCAAAGCCTTTGGAGCACAGCGTGAGTTCCCGCTGCACTCCAAAGGCTTGAGGCTTCGGGGACAGCGTTTGTAGCCTCCGCAGGGCAGCGGGGTGAAGGCACCCCGCTGCCCTGCGGAGGTTTTGCGCAGCTAACCCCAAGCTAGAACAGTGAGACAGAGCGCTGCGCAGCTCTCCGTCTCCCTGTTCTGGCTTTGGGCTTAGCCGCGCAGCCTGCATTCGCTCTATAGGACGCACACACATTTCCCCTTAATTTTTGGAGGGGAAAAAGTGAGTCCTATAGAGCGAAAAATACGGTATATTGAGTCTCATCTTTTAATATATTAGTGTATGGGCATGTCTTTAAGTTAACATTAAAAACCTGACAGTACCAAATTATCAAAGGCTTTTCACCAAAGCCAGACTAAACGTCTTTCCTTCTGCAGTGTTAGCTGGCAGTTTGAGAGGAGTTCCCTACCAGGACAGACTTTGCTCGTGTGCTCACGACATTGATTCTATAAAACATATTTTGCTGCACTGTGCAAAATATGAGCAAGATAGGGCTGAACTGATATTACCCGTGCTGGTACCTTTCCCGGGAAAATCAGAGGCTCACTATGTCAGGTTCCTATTGGAAGAACGGACAAATGCTAGAACATTAGCAGTGGCAAAGTTTTTATCGGTGGTTGCAAGAACCAATGATCCCTATCTTTTGAACAAAATGCTTGTTTAACCTGGAGGTAGGCTGTATGAATTGTGCATTGCTCTGTAATGATTTGTTGGGTCTCTGGACCGTAATAAAGACTGATGAATATATCAGTGGCCCCGCGGTGATTTTAGCTTATAAATTTTACTGTCTAATGTTTCAATTTGTATATTAAGGAGTTTCTATAGCTTTGTGCAGATTAGGTCATGTTTTGATAAAGTAAATGTTTCAAGTTTTTGGATCAAACTAGTATATATTTTATTGAATGACATTGCATACATTGCAGCAGCCTTTGGCTATAAGCAATAAACTTGACTGACTGACTGAGTCTCATCACCTACACAACAAGTGGCATCGATCCTAGTAGTCTCAAGTGCAGTAGCATGACAATATTTCATCACAATACAAGGAAGCTCTGCACAAAAATGACCAATATGCTTTTCAGAAATGAAGAGCTCTTTGGCCAACACTGAGGTTGAACCTGTTGCATGGTATCTGTTGTTAGGCAGCCCAGGGTAAGCGTCCCAGAGTGACACACATTTATTTCCAAAGCTCATAATCAGCATTTTGGACAGAATCAAAACCAATGAACCAAAGATGCATGTCAGGAAGAGGTAAAAGACTGGAATATGGACCTAGAAAATGGACTGGAGGAGCATGGTTTAGTTCCATGTCTGAATATAAACAGTTCTGAATGATAGGAGATACCTAGAGATGGAGTGTAACTAAATAACTTAAAGTGTTATTCTACAAAAATGATACATTGTGCCCCTTTCCCCAAAAACCAGATATTTAACAAAATGGTTTGACTTATGACCAACTATGCTTACATGCCTGAAATTCCAGCCTTTTGCTAATGACAAAACTATACAATCATATCAAAATTGAGCCAAATTGTATCCTCAATACACATATCAGTAAAACACACCAAAATCTCAGGCTCATCTTCTAACAACAAGATGTAACTGTTCTGCAAATATAGGGCTGGGGAAAAAATTTCTGGCCTAGAACTTGGTCTACGCTGTACAAGGCTTCCAATGGAAAGGCCTGGCCTTGCAAACTGCTAGGCACATTGATGTCAAATATTTTAATAGCAAAGGATTGAAGCACAAACTCTGAAAGCAGACGTCTCCAATGCCTTGAAGGATTTGGGGCCATATTTTGAAAACAATGGCATATAAAGCCTAAAGTTTTCAATTGTTTCCTGCATTCTTTTGTCTCTCTGAGACCTCTCTCATGCCTTTTCTTAAATTTGGAACAGCTTTGCCACTCAATGTTCTTCAAATTAACATTCTCACGTCCCCATGATGTTCTTCAAAAACAGACTTTCCTGCACTGTAATTATGGATGCATCAATATGCTGGGAAAATGTGAGAAGAGAATATGCGTGCTCTGAAGTTAGTTCCAAATATTTTAACTTCATTTAAGAAGGAGTCAGCTTCATTACCTCTAGGATCACAGAGGCAAAGGAAACACAATTCTCCCAACATCTCAATGAATCCATAAGCACATTTGCCAATTCCTATTTTCCGTGCACTGTTCTGGTTCGTATGACTGTTCCCTTTGCTTATGGTTTTGCTGAAAAGCAGCTCTTTGCAGAGTCGATGGCCTTATTTCAAGGTGTTTGTCCACTTATGTGTGCGGGTGGGGGGGGGAGATTACAAATAATAACTGGGACTCTTCAACAAAATGTTACAGTGTATTCGTGTCACCTGAGGGTGCAGCTGAAAGGGTTGGAAAAAAGTTAGCATTAAAGCCAAAACTCCCTGTTCTAACTTGGATCTTATTTCATGTGACGTTTTAAAAAGCATCAATAACTGATGTTCAACCAGTGCACATGCACATCAGTAGAGCATGTGGCTTCACCATGCATATGAGTACTGAATTTGCCCTGGCCAGCCAATGCACAGCTTTGGCCTGTAGTATTAACAGTGGAATACATTGCACAGCTGCCCAAAGTTCAGAGTACCACCTCTCTCTAATAATAGGCATTGCAGACTTGTTGTATGCTACTCTCAGCTCAATCTCCAACTCAGGTATAAAAGCAATGGGGAAATACTGCAGGGTTGTTGTGAGTTGCTTTCACAGCATCAGCTCAACCTGGAATGCCTCTAGACAAAACTACAGGACTGTTACAAGCCAATCAGAGACTACCGTATTTTTTGCCCTATAGGACACACTTTTTCCCCTCCAAAAATGAAGGGGAAATGTGTGTGCGTCCTATGGGGTGAATGCAGGCTTTCGCTGAAGCTATCCACAAGCCTGTTCTGGGGGCTGGGGTCAGGGGAAGCTTGGGCTTCCCCCGCCCCAGCCCCGTGCCGGGGGGGGGGTTTCCTTTATTTCCCCCCCAAAAAAAACACCTAGGTGCGCCCTATGGGCCGGTGCACCCTATGGGGCGAAAAATACGGTAATTTGCAGAATTCAGTTAACTGCACTGCAGGGCAGTCATGAACTACACTCTCCCAGCAACTGCCCTTCCTAACAGGCAATTTGCAAACAACGAGGTGCATTAGCAGTTTTTGTATTAGCAAGTTTGTTTAAAAGAAAGAAAAATATTTCACACTAAATAAGCAATGAGTTAGAAAGAGCAGTGACTCTCCTTCTCGCTACTACCTTGTGGGGAGGGGAGGGAGCAGGTGTCCAACTCCTGCCACATTAAGTCTTGGATTTCTATGGGTGACTTTCACTTCTGTCCTTGGAGACATTTAAAAATAGTTTGCCATTGTGAATTAGGAAGTGACCCACCCAGACATTGAAATGATTGCCTCTAACTGACACTTTCTCAAACTTCTTTCACAATCTCTTGGAGGGGGAAAGAGAGGAGAGAAATGAAGGGAAATGCAGCCAAGGAACAGATGCCGAGGAGATACAACCGTCTACCTCCCACTCTCCTCCTCGCCCCATGTGTGTTCCTTGCATTCTCTCTCAGCTATAGCCTCTCCTGCCAGCTGATCAGCAGGGTCTGGAAATCTCCTGGGCTGCTTCAGCCCCATCTTCCAGTTCACTCACAGCTTCCCATCAGTTCCATTTTCACCCTCCCTTCTGGTTTTCTTTCTCAACTAACTTAATGTTAGCAAACAGGTTCAGTCCTCAATGGACCTGGAAGGAGGGTGGGGAATAATACTTTTTTAAAAAATTCTAAAAAATCTTGGGTTCCCACTATGCCTGGGGATATTCTTATTGAATGTGGGCGTGCCTAAGTTCTGGGGCAGGCCCAACAGGATTTTTGTTTTTTGCAAAATCAGTTTCAAGAGGATTGCCAAATAGCAGAGTACACATCAACACCTATACCAGAGATTAAAAAAACCCATGTGTTTTGGGATGAATTGCAGCAAGATACAACTTTTGATCAAAGCTGGAAACATTGTTTTCCTTTGTTTACTCACTTTTGGCAGTGCCCATTCTGACCGGGATCCATCTGCATTGTAGTAGTATGGCCGACCTTGTTCATCAACATGCTTTATCCACTACAGAAACAAAAGTTAATAAAATACTTAATACAAAAAACCCCAGATCTTTAATTTATAAATATGTCAAATGGGAGAACAGAAATACTTCAGATTCTGAGCCCCTCCAAACACACAGACAGGAAACCTCTATTTTTATATAGCCAGAGCTGGTTATAAAGATCCATGGAATCACACTGGGGAATAGGGAGGGTGTGTTAAAAGGCCATCCAGCCCAACCCCCTGCTTAGTCCAGGAAATCCAGGACTAGAGTATTCCTGAAATATGGCTGTCCGATCAAAGCATTTTTGGTCACATACCTAGAACTATAATAAATGTATAGTACACAGTATTTTGTTGCCACAATTAATTTATATTGTAAGAAATAATAATTGTAATGATTTAAAATTCTGCTTCATACACATTTAAGTCCCATGGTTTCTAAATAAGAACAACAGCTTTTTTACAACATAAAACTGGTTCTTCTCCCTACTGTCAACTACAGCAGCTCCATTTTTGAAGACATTCTAAAAAGAGCCATATTGTTATTTTATTCAAAATAGGGTTATTTTGCATGTGAAAATCTTCTGCCTTAGGCAAGAACCCTATATGAGGTGGGCTAACTTTATTTTTCCATAGTATAATTTTTTTTTACTAAAACCCCTATCCCACAGCATTTTAAGGTAACAAAGTAGGAGTGCATGCTTCAGAACAATTCACAGTTAAAGGCATAACTAGCCATGTTACACAATCCTGAATAGACACTTTTTCTTAAGAACATGAAAAGAACAAAATCATACCACGTTTTACTGAGCCTAACCTCTTTCAGGAGAATCCCAGAAATCAGGAGGCACTAAGCAGTACACCAAAATTAAAAATCACCCACTTATCCACAAAGGCATAACTGTCTAGCTTCTACATAGTCTTGTTGTAACACAAGGCATTCCCATACTCCCAATAGTCAAGTGGAGTGCTTCTGCAATCAAGAAGAGCTCTACAAGGTATGCATTTCAACAGAGGACCAAGTTCTTCACTGAAGTTAAAGTAAAATTCATTCTCTCTCTCTCTCTCTCTCACACACACACACACACACCACATTAGGACATACAATTAACAATAGTTTTCCAAAGGATATGATCCTAAGTGCATTGAATTAGAAGTCTTATTGTCTGCAATGTGTTTTTAGGTGCAGCGTTGTGACTCATGACTATCATATAGTACTAGGAAAACTTGCTCAACATATTAAAGGAAAATTGGATGTACATTTCATTCTTTTTAGTGGAAGAACAGTTTACTGTAAGCTAAATGCCCAACTATTATAACTGAAGGCAATTCTCCACTACCTGAATAGTTATAACCAAGCAAACAACAACCACCGCCCCCCACTGAACACACTGCATCTAAACAGAACAAAGCTTTGGAGAGGAAAGAGGGAAATCCACAGGAGTCCCTGATCTAAGCAGTATCTCAGAACTCAGTCTCTCACATAGCTCTTCAGATATATCCATCATTCAAACGCAGCACAGCTTGTTCTCACAGTATTTTGGGAGGTGGGGAACAGAATGAAAAGCAGGAACAATGTCTGCTGAGTCTGAATAGAATGGCACACACACTGGAACTCGATTTTGCTTTTGCTCTCTTTTCTACTCACACTGCTAGAGGGGGATAAAAATGGGGATCAGTCAAAACAGCCAGTATCTGTCCAAGGGGACAACAGCAGTATAGAGCTCTATTCTGGTTGCAGCACATGGCACAGCCCCGTCCCCAAGACTCTCCACTTTCAGAGCAAGAGACCTTGGTTCTGGAGACCGAGTGTGTCACCATTTTCCTCTCTTTTGTAGGAGGAGATAGTGAGTGTAGTTTGTCTTGCCTTGTGGCTAGTGTGACCAGGCACACGGTTGTTTTCGATGATGATTTAATACAGAAATCTCCGAAGTTTTAAACATTATGCTTCTCATAATTCAAATATTGAATTTTATAGATGACATTAATAGGATAGTAATCTGTTTATTCCAGCAGGGAGGGGAGAACTGCATCTCCTTCAAGCATCATTTTTAGAGTTACTTTTTGTTAAACAAACATGTAACACATTAGGGAGGGAAAGCAGCTGTTGATAATGAGATATTATGCAGTCCACAGATAAGAAAATTAATTGAAGTTTATAACTTGCCAAACATGATACCGGGTTGGTAATACATATTCAAAACTTTAAAAATTTGCTATCTAACATAAGAAACCTACAGAGTACATATAAGACTGTACAATGACATTTCTAAACATAATTTTTTTGCAGGAAAAGTGGAAGCTAAACACAGTACAGTCCTAATATATAAGAGCAGTTTCTTAGAGACCAAACAAAAAAGCGCCTAGAAATGAGCAAAAAACAAAAATGTTCAAGGGAGTGGGAAGAAACTGTCACTAAGCAATACTTTTCCACCACCAATGACAAAATCACACCTATTTGAGTTCTTACTTACTAAATTTCTACTAGCTTAGAATATACGTGATGAAGAAAAGTGTGTACCTTTTCCTTAGTATAGTCACTGGTATATAGCGTTTGGCCATGTTCATCCAACTCTTCTGACCACCCTTTGGGAGGAGAACCATACTGACTATCTGACTGGCTGTTACAAGAACTGTAGGAGTTTTCTTGTGATGAAAGAGTCTATAAATGGTCAAACATACAGAAGTATTGAGAATTTATATTAGGTCAAATTCTAGAAGAGGTTAGAACTTGATTAGAAGTCAAAACTTTAAATGAAAAATGAATTAAGAGGCAGAAAGTGAAATACAATCTACTTCCAAGGGAAAAGGTCAGGTTATTACTGAACAGAAAGCTTTTGGAAGAGATTAGTCAGGTGAGACTCACATGCCTTTTGGGCATTTCAAAGTTGAAAAAGAATAATTTTAGCTGAGATTACATTAGAGGAACAATACACGTCCTACTGAAGTCTGAGGCAAAAAAAGAAGATCCACATGAGCTCTGATGAGAATGTGGTTGCAGGTGGGCACTTGCAGGTAATAGGCAGTGGATGGGAGTATCTAATCTGGAAGCTCCAGCTTGGGCACAGTGCAACAACCAGCCTGCAGATTACTGGCAACTTGTTGAGAGAACTGCGCTGCCTGCCAATCACTACTGGGTCAGGGACAAATGTGCCTGTGTCAACTCACAAACCCCTAAGCAACTTTGGCCCAGAGCACTTTAAGCCCCCCAAGTACTGCTTGATTCCTTATGTTCCACCTTAATAATTGAGATCCTCTGATAGGGAACTTCTGGTGGGTTCTTCACACCTATGAGGTTCAGTTGGCCTTTACGAAGGACTGTGTCTTTCCTGTGGCAGGTCCTGAGACCTGTGTAACTCCCTGCCAGTAGAGGCTTGCCTACTTTCAGACATCTATTGAAATCCATTACTCAGAAAGTCCTTTGAAACAGGAATTTCTTTTCCCCAACAAGCTTTTATCAAAGTTACTGTAATTTTGTACATTGTATACCATATGTTGGGGATATACCATTGGGCTGGGGTATTGTTTGGTGGGGTTATTGCTGTTGGTTTATTATATCTTTATCTTAGACCCTGTGATTTATGTGAAAATTGTTCAGTTTGGTTGTATATTTTTTAAATGTTATAGTTATGCATTCTTTTAATGTTGTAAGCTGCCTTGAGCATTGTTTGACCTGTGGGAAGGCAGCATACAAATAAAATTATGCATGTATGTAGTATGTTTATGAAAAGTGTGATCTATAAACATTTAATATTTATCATTCTGTCTTCCTATCGATTTTTCCCTGCGAATGTTCACTGCTCAGCAAGCAGAAATGGACAGTTCCCCCACCAGAGGGATAGTAAGTGCAATGCCCCAGGGTTCTGTGTTTCGACCTGTGCTTTTTAACTTGTTCATAAATTATCTAGTGCTAGGGAAGTGTAGTGAGGTAGTCAACCTGGCTGGTGATAGGGACCTGGTTGGCCACTGTGAGACGCATGACTAGAAGGGTTGTTGGTCAGCAGGGCTGTTCTTATGATGATACCCAGCTGATAGAAGAGGTTAAAACAAAAAGTGTTTGCTGGGAACTCCAAAAAGATACATTTAAACTGAGTGACCGAGCAGTAAAATAGCAAATGGAAAATAGGCACATTGGGACAAAAAGAATCGTAATTTCACATATATGCTAATGGGATCTAAATTGCCAGTGACTGACAGGAATAAGACCTTGGTGTCATAATGGGTAGCTATGAAGAAGTTAACACAGTATGCAGAAGCTGTGAAAAAGGAAAATTCTACACTGGGGAGCATTGGGAATAGGCCTGAATATATATCTCTATTTTTATCTAGATCTACATATGGCACTCCTGCCAACCTAGCAGTTTGAGAGCACGTCAAGTGCAAGTAGATAAATAGGTACCGCTCCGGCAGGAAGGTAAATGGCGTTTCCGTACACTGCTGTGGTTAGCCAGAAGTGGCTTAGTCATGCTGGCCACATGACCCAGAAGCTGTCTGCGGACAAAACGCAGGCTCCCTCAGCCAGTAAAGTGAGATGAGCGCCGCAACCCCAGAGTCGTCCTCGACTGGACCTAACAGTCAGGGGTCCCTTTACCTTTTACATATGGCACAATCAAAATTTCAAGTGAAATTGAAATATGAAGAGCGACCACTACAAGCAGGATATTCATTTAACAATTCTGAAAAAAATCAAGAAACCCCTCAAAATTTCATACTACTGAACCTCTGAAGAATGTTAAGTGTTCTGCTGCTCTTATCTTAACTGAATTTAATGTACCTGGAATTTCTGCTGACTTAGTGAAATGCTGCTGCTTTGATAGATGAACGTAATTTATTTAAAAGCTTAATACGGTGGTGCCTCGCAAGACGAAATTAATTCGTTCTGCGAGTTTTTTCGTCTTGCGAATTTTTCGTCTTGTGAAGCACGGTTTTAACGGGTATTAACGGTTTTTTAAAAAAGGAAACAAACTCGCAAGACGTTTTCATCTTGCGAAGCAAGCCCATAGGGAAATTCGTCTTCCGAAGCAACTCAAAAAACGAAAACCCTTTCGTCTTGCGAGTTTTCGTCTTGCGAGGCATTCTTCTTGCGAGGTACCACTGTATTTTGATATCTATGCATTTTGCTGTTTTATATTTTTAATTATATGAATCAATGAAAGGTTTGATAACTAAAAGTATTTGTTTTGTGATAATTGTTCTAGATTTCAAAATAACTGATACGTTTAGGGGAAAAACTTTTGTTTGTTAACTATAGCTAATGTATACACAAATGTCAATTTATGAAATGTTTACAAATTTGTACATTTGTTGTATACAAAGATTGATATTTCTTCACTCTGTGAGCCGCTTTGAGCACAATGATGTAAAAGCAGCATATAAATACATTTTAATTTTAAAAAAATCTATATCCGGTAAGGCATTTCAGGGGGAAAAAAATCAGATACTTAGTGAAATGGTTATAATTTATTCTCAATTTTAGGGATTTAAAAAAAAAAATCCAGTTGAACCCTGAAACATTTTGAAAGATGTTCTGAGCACTCCAAAAACGTGTAATGAATACATAAAATCTAATTCAAGGAGAATCACATCTCTTATTAAAGACCCTCAATAACTTTATTTTGTTAACTTAGGTTTAAGATATCAGTTAATGTTGTTAAATCTAAGGTAACAAAACTAAAAATGCTTAATTATTTTAAAATTATCAGATGACATACCAGTAATCCAACCCAACAAACAATGAAGAGGCAGAAATGTCAGTCAATAAAACTGGGGAAGGCAAGTGTATGCCACCTTAAAACAAGCGCAAGAAAAAGTATCACACACATGGATACACACAAAAGTAATAATGCTCTAAACAATAAATATACTTTTTACATTCCCCCTCCCCCCAAGCTATTAACAGATCTTTTCTCTCAGTTCCACATCTTCCCTTTTGCTTTCCATATGCCTGTCAATATTTCCTCTGCCAACAAGCCCATAAACATTGACTGGACACACAGACACATTTCATTAGAATTAAGGCCTTCTGTTATTTCTGCTAATGTTAAGACACATCAGTCACAACACTAAAAATTGCTTTTAGAGTATCTGGCAAAGACCCACACATACTACTAGACATAAGAAGCTAATTCAAAGTCATAGTGACCATGGAGAAGGAAACCAAGAAGCTCTTGCAGTAATAACATGTTAAAGATGTAACCGTCAATAAAACTGGGAAGGGTTTTCCCCTGCTCTTACTACATTATGGTTTAGTTTATACATCACTGTAAGCCAAACTATAACTAACTGGGACTGTGCAAACATGAGTGCTCCCACAGAAGAGATCCCAGTTGCTTTGATCCTCTGGGGTCTTTTTAAGTCCTCTCTTGCGAAAAGCTAAGCTAAGGTTTTGCTTAGTGTGTCATCCAAACCAAAACTAACAGTTCCGTTCTTTCCTTGCTAACCAGGAGCTGTGGACAAGATGGTGGTTGGTGAGAAGAGAGATTAACCTCTCTCTCCAGATGACATACTAAGCCAAACTTTGGCTTAGCTCAGATAGGAGCTCCTCACTGTGAACCCACGCATTCATGCAGTCCCAGTAAGCCATTTGTTTCCCACAACATGTGAACAAGGTCTGAGAAAACATGTGTCACCACTGCAGGCTAGGATGGGATGCTCCCTAAAGGGGAAAAAATAGGGTCAAGCGCTTCTGTTGCATGACTTTTAAGCAAGGACCATTTGATTAGACTTGGCTCTGATATCCTCCTCAATAAACTAAAACAAAAAGCTCAATGAGTGGTTCCATAACTGAGGTGGGGAAATTAAAACCACTGGTTGGTTGGGTTTCTTTAACTGAAGTTTGTCCACCATTGCTGGATGCTGTTAGCATCAATTAAACTTACCTCTTGATCTACTTGATTCACAGAGTCTGCTTTACTTATGCTTGGATCCCGAGTGAAACGTGGGGGTTTCCAGGTTCTCTCTTGTGTTCCTTTGTTGTAATAGTAACAGCGTCCTGTAGTATCTTTGTGGGTCTCCCATTCCCCATTAATTTGGATTGGAGGGCTTGTAGGTAAAGGTGGGAGTGCAGACTGAGATATTTTCAGTTCTTGTAAATTAGCATAAACTGGTGAATCTGGCCTTCCTTGGCTTGGTGGTGTGATTGGCTGCAACAAAAGAAATTGCATTTTACTTAAAATATTATGATAGTAACATTGAGAGCATTGCAGCAAAATGTGTACATCAGAATATGTGTTAAACGCCAAAGAATATCTCATCACAAGACATTTTTACAACACTTAACAGCCAAATAAACTAAAGCTGCTAAAAAAGAAAAAGGTAACCAATGGATTTAAAGAGGCTGAGATTTAGTTAAATCTGCATTCTTCTCTTCAACCCAAAGGTTCCAAGTGCAGTACATACACTATATCTAAATAGTGTTAGACAGAGGCCTTCATCCTTTTGGAGTGCAGGGGCATTATTTGGAGATCTACAAAATATCCATTTCACAGAAGAAAAACCAGCCAATGCTCAGAACGGTTTCTTCAAAACAACATGCAGCACTCTTGTACCAAAACTGACAACCATGAAAAAGGCAACCCCTCCCCACCTCAAAGGAAATGACCCTCCAATCAATCAATCAATCAATCAATCAATCAAAACAAACAAAACTAGTCACTCAATTTCAAAAAAGCAAACTGGAAGGGGCTGGGTGCTCCATGGCATGCTCTGAAGATGCCCACATCGTCCTGAATTGGTCTGCTTTGAGCTGAAGTTTTGGACAAGAGAAAAAACGGAATGCAACAGCTTAGCCTAGAGCACTAGGGCTAACACCACTAGCCTTTGTGCAGAGTAAGTTGCTACATGAATTATTGGGGGGGGGGGGTTCTCGAAGACTTGTCATAGCAGAAATTGAGCCAGAAGGATCATTATAACTTTATACAGTGGAACCTCAGGTTGCAGATGTAATCCGTGATGGAGGCACATCCTCAACCCGCAGCGTTCGCATCCTGAAGTGCCGCATTTGCGCAGGCGCTGGCACGATTCGGCACTTCTGCACATGCGCAAAGAGCAATTTAGCACTTCTACACATGCGCCAAAACCCAGAAGTAACCCATTCTGGTTTCCGGGTTTCCCGTGGTCCATAACCCGAAAACACGTAACCTGAAGCGTCCGTAACATGAGGAATGACTGTACACATGTACAGTGAATAGCCAAGCAATGACATCAACAAAATTCTCCATCATTCTTCATCCAAAGGTCACAAATTCAAATTCAGGAGTCAAAGTCAAGGGTTTAAAAAACATGGCAAAGACAAATATAATACAGGGAATAGTTCTCTATAAAGGCTCAAAAACCTCCACAGGTTTCACAGGAAGAATTCTCCCACCTACCCTCAAAAATTAAAGAAGATTCTACCACTGTATATCCCAAGAATTCAAAACATACAGGAATCAACATCCTTCTTTTTCAGGCAAAATTGAAGCATAATAAACCATGCACGGTCATAGAAGGTTCTATGAAAATGTGAAGAATATGCTATAAAAAACCCTGTTCATTTCATCAGCTGTACACTACAAGCTAGTAGATATCCAATCTAAACTTAGGCACACCTAAATCCACTGTACCAAGGAATATCCAGTGCAACAAAAGCTGCAACCCACAGAATGAACTTTGCATGGTGCTGGTTAAGGATGCTCTTGGAGTTTGTACATGACTCATCACTTTATTATAAATGAATCCCCAGAACCACAAGATATCAGAAGTAGGGGTTTTTAGTTCCTACCGGTGGTGTGAGATTTTGCTTATCTGTCACTTATAGATATTTGTTTTCGCTTAATACTTGCAGAGGAAACAGTGTTGAACAGTGCTGCATATTTATTCCACACCAAAGCAGTGCAATTGCCAAGTTCAAGTTTATTGCGGCCAAAGCCAGTGACACTAAACATCCCAAGATCAGACAACAAGAAATCAGCAACAACTTCAGAAAAGAAAAAAGGTTACACACTTTCAGGCAGTGCAATTGCATAAACCCATGATCTGTAAAGCAGTTCCGTTTCTACCAAAGTCAGAGTCTGTTTTGTGCATGTTTTATATTAGTGGCCAATATTAGGCCAGCATGGGATGCAGATTTAATATGTCAGGTTATTCATTTCAGCTTAATCGTTTTATGTAAGTTTTATAGCAGGTAGATTAGGGGTTGCATAAGGACGCACCCAAGAGGCCTGCAGCAACCATAACAGCCAGGGATGTGGTTAACTGGAGATTTTATCTTAACCTTTACCACAGCTCCCTCTCTTCAGCACAATGTCCCTTGAACTGTGCAATCACAATTTCCATGTATGCAGATGTTAGGTGTGTTCACTGATACAGCACAACTTCTGAGTGTTGAAATTAGCACAGCTGGAGTTTATTCTTGGTTCTAAATAAAAAAAAACACACCATAAAAGTGAGCATGTCTTTAGGCTAATTAAATTATAATCTCTAGTGCTTTATCTTTTAGGTGGCAATTCTACACACATCTATCAGGGGTTAAGTCCCATTGAACTCAGTGGGAGTAAGTGCTGAGTAAATATGCATAGGGTTGTGCTGCATTAACAAACTAGTATATTTGCTCGTTCTTTGAAAAAGATACTACACCATGCTAATGTCAACAGGGAAATATAATATCCACAGGACATTTAATTATAAAGAAAGGTTTCTGAGAGAGGAAATGTCCTATTTGTCTTTAGCACTAGTAACTGGAAGGCCCCAATTCTGAACAGCAAGATTCATTTATTAACCATTATGCCCAGTAGCCATTTCCAAATGTATCCCACACCAATTTGTATGTCCACTCTTATTTACACAGCTCTGTCTAAGTCACTACAGTAAGCCCAACAAGAAGGCACGACATATTTTCAGCTCCATCAAGCCCACAAAGTCATCTGGTACTTCTAAATTCTGAAATACTACCTACATTTCATCAATCGTAAGAACACTCAACTTCTATGTTTTGATTATTATACTTATATATTACTCTTAAATTGGATTCCCAGTGGCATCCATCCAGGTTACTGATCGGATCTGCACCAACGTAGGTTTAACTACTCTGTAGATTCAGGTTCTAACAAACCATTCACTGAGCAAAACTTTTCCTAATACTTGGATCTGATTTATTTAAGTTAGACTGCACATGTTGAAAAACTTGCTAATGATACAGCAAACAAAACACTTCAAATTCGCTATTTCTTTAAAAACTCTTAACAAGCAAGAGACTGCCCACTAGATGTCACTGTGGCGCCCAATACCTGTATATTAACTGAACACTAATTCTGTTAATTGCTTTCCAAACCACCTATTTTTATATGCTCCATGTGCTTTAAATAATTTTAGTTTGAGGTTGTTTTTTTAGCCCTTCTGGGCCAATGGTGTTGCTGCGGACCCCAGATGTTTGAAATATCTGTAATGCATTTCTTAGCAAACCTGGACCACTTAATACACCATTTACTCCTGAGCAATATGGGGCCAGTCTTCTGTGGTGCTTCATTCCTTCACATAATGCTACACAAAACACAGAAGTTACACAAACACACACACACACACACACACACACGATGATATTTAGTGATGTAGAGCTAACGAACCAAAACCAGTTTAACCTAGTTAGCTTTTCCTCAATCTTCTATTCTAGCAAAAGATGAAGCAAACCTGAATAGATTTAATTTCTATTCTGTCCTTTGAGAAAGTGAAACAATAGCCCAGTTTACACATCATATTAAACCATACCTAAATAACTTTGGTTTAACATGATTTAAAAATGCATTTTATAGCTTTTTTTACAATTAATGAACATAATTTAATTATTTAATATTATTAGCAGTGTTCTGGTGTATGCTACTGGAAGTCGCAGGTGTTTCACCCCTCCCTTGGTCCTGCCAGGAAACGAGCCATAGTTTGACCAAAAAACAGAAAAACAAATCTATCAGTGGAATCCAAGTTAAGTTTATTTTAACTATGGTTAAAGGCAATGTGTGAACCAGGTTATGAAGCGAACCTCCCAGAAAGAAACCCCAATCATATCTATCCATGAATATAAAAAGAATCACAAAGGAAGAGAGTAGGAGAAAACAAATCCTTGCATCTTGGTCCCATTTCAACTAATACAAACGAAGTCACAGGAATACTTACTATATTTTTGTTTAAACATCTTAGGGTAAGAAGTTTCAAAGTAAGAAAATCTTGCACTACCTTATCCAGAGGTTTAGGGAAAGCCTGACAGATCCAAGTACGCCCTACAGTCACCAAACGCTCAGAAGGAAGTGGAGCCTCCTCTTCCAGTGTGAAACCTCTGAAAGAGCAGCCCCTAGCCTTACTCACAGTAGGATAGCTCAATGAATTTCAAGACATGCTTCAGTTCCTACAAAAATACTTTATTTGATTTACGGGCACAACTTTTCTCATCCTAATGGAGAAGGCAGTATCATGAGAAACATATTAAGACTAATGTCTGGTTCATCTTTTAAACACAAGCCAATCTGCATGATTTAAAATATTTCATATGCATTATGCTAAGCTGCAAGCATCAGCCAATTAAGACTTTAATCTAATTAAAATGCCTCCCAAACAGAAACCATTCTAGCAACATTCTCCCTCTCCCTCTGGGCATGATGTGTCCAGCCATGAAGACATTCTAAGCAAGAGACTAAGTGGGTTTCTCCTAGTTTGTGTTTAGCATCTTGCTGCCCCAACAGCACTTGACTCCAGCCTTCTCTGAAGACTCTAGTCACAGGGTGAAATTATCATAACTCACTAGTAGAGATGATGCTGTGCGTGCAGATGGTTCCAGGTTCAATTCTGTACAGAACTGAAGGTACTGCTATACTTGATGCCAAACTAGTAAGATTGTTTTATAGTAATTCCATACATTATATAATAATTGATGTTATACTTATGTGTGCTCAATTGTTAAATTGGTTCCCCACCCCTGCTGTAAAATATAAAGGTCAGTGAATCAAATATATACAGTGAAGACTAAGGATCATTTAGTCTAATTAGCCAAGAAATGTAAGGGTAATTAAAGGTGGTTGTGTGAAACCCCTGACCACTCATCTAATGGTTGTTTTTGTGGTTTTATTTTTATTTGTATGTATATTGAACTTACTTTAATTGTGTTGCTTTTTGTAAGCTGCCCTAGGGGCATTTAGAGAAGGGTGGGCTATAAGTATGAAAAATAAGCAAACAAACTAATCACAGCCTCTATTTTAAAGTCACTAGCTTCCTCAGCAGCAGTATTTTACAGAACCACGTCATCGGATTTGCTAAAATGAGTCACTTTGTATTTTATCATTTAAAACAAACAGATATAAGCAAACATCTTGTGAGGGCTTAGTGTAAAGTCACTTTACTAATAATAAAATGCTGTGCATCATCGATCCTTTAGCCCTCATCAGTAAGGAAATGCCTCAACCAACAGTGCCCCATAGCTGAGACGGCAAGAATAGTTTATAGCTGACAAAGCAATTATTGGGTACCTTAACATTCACACACATTCACGTGGCTCAATTATAAAACCACACTCAGCATTCAGAGGATCAGCTAGAACAGCAACTCTTTGGAGAACATTCTCATTTAAAAACTGTAATAGGATAATAAAGCAGCACGGCAACTCATTAAAGGGCTTACAAAATACAAATTCTCACTGAAAATGCATGGGATCTCTGCATACTATCAAGTAGCAAATTGCGACGAAAAAACTTCAGCATTCAAATGTGTTGCAGAAAAATATCCAAATTACACATTCCAGCCTTAAGGATATTTCCCCATCCAATTGATCTGATCTGTCTATTATTTCAGCAAAAAATAAAAAATAAAAAGTATTAGTTACTTCCTTAAAGGAAGCTTTACAGTGGTACCTCGGGTTAAGAACTTAATTCTTTCTGGAGGTCCGTTCTTAACCTGAAACTGTTCTTAACCTGAAGCACCACTTTAGCTAATGGGGCCCCCCGCTGCTACCGCACCGCCGGAGCACAATTTCTGTTCTCATCCTGAAGCAAAGTTCTTAACCCGAGGTACTATTTCTGGGTTAGCAGAGTCTGTAACCTGAAGCGTCTGTAACCAGAGGTACCACTGTAGTGGGAAATTACTTGCTAGTGCCTTTTTAGTCATCAAAGACCTTTAAAATTTTGACCCTTCAGCAGTGGTGGAGCTTCATGCTCTGGCACCGGGGGGTGGGTGGAGAGCAGGTGGGGGCGTGGCTGGCACGCCTCCCGGGGGCATGGCACCCAGCGCAGGTGGGGGTCACCTACGATGGCACCCCACCGGGATTGCGCTGCCGGGGGCGGTGCACTCCCCGTGAACCCTTCTTCCTCCGCCAATGCCCTTCAGCACAGTAATGAAATGAGGAAAATACTGGAGAGAGAACAGATCTTAGTAGCGAATTCTTAAGCTTCACAAACAGTAATTCTGGTGGTTTGCTGAAAGCTGACAGTTTCCTGTCCAAAATTTTGTCAGTGACCACATCCTGCTTGAATTCTACAGTTTATCTCTTCCTTTGGACTTCTTTAGGAAAAAGGCAGCAAATGATTTACAGTTAGTTGTTCAGGAGTTTTTGGGTGCTAAAGCACCACAGAGGTGTTACAAGAATTTAAGGTCTCAAATAAATTAAATGTTCATAAATTTACAAGGCAAACACATATGTAAGTATATAAACCACGTGTCTGAAATTGTACAGGAGAGCAATCCTGAAACCATCTTGACTCTCCCAAATTGACCTCAAATGTTTCTCTAAAGGAGGAAGGAAATGGGAAAGCCTCTCCATTGTCTTTTGCTTACTTGTCTTTGGGGCACCTCTGTGTATGAAAAGGGTGAGCCTGTGACCTGGATTCAGGAATTAAAGTATTTACCATCACAAAAGAGTGGCCGGGCTGCCCAAGTAAGCAATCACTGGCTATTGTCAGGTATCCTGGCAGACAGGATTTCTGTTGTAGACCACCTCCTTCTGCGATGTATGTCTAATGTTTTGGGGGGTGGTCTTGAGCTACAGGGTGGGCAGTTTCAAAAGTCTATATAAGGGCTTGCACACCATTGTTCTGGGTTCCTCCATCCTCCTACGTGTGGTGAGTGAGCACCCTATTGCAACAGTTTAATGAAGATCAGGCTTAATAGCTGCTTTGCTTCTCAATATTCTCTGGTTGGCCTGTTATTTTCTCCTACCGATAGAAAACCAACTTAAGGAATCTATAGGGGCTCTTGGATACTCCATAAGGGAAAAGGAGCAGTTTTTTATTATAACACAGGAGAATCATTATGCTTTTGAAACTTCATTGCCAATATTTCTAGTTGGAAATTTAGTATAAAGGTACTTAGATAAGCCCTATTATTAGGCAGAAAAGAGGCCACCACCTCACCTGGCTGGTGTATCATGAAAAGGTAGCAAGCTGTTCTTTGTTGCATGTATTATTGTTGTATTTTCACTGCCAGGGAGGGAGGGAGGAAAATGCTTGTGGAAACTTCTCCCTCAAGTGCCATAAGAACTTGGCTGATCTTGGGTAACATATGCATTTGAGAAAAGCCCTGCTGGTTCAGACCAAAGGCTCATCTAGTCCAGCATCCTGTTCTCACCAGATCCCTGTGCGAACTCCTCCTGGGGCTCCTCCTAAGGAAGGTGTGCCTGGAGGAAGAACTGTGAGGGGAGAGACTTCGTCAGGCAAGGCCTCCTTCCACCTGCCTTGCCCCACCCTCTAGTCTCTGCTTCTCCATTTGTATTGTATTATTTTATGTACTGTGGCTTGCCATTGTTTTATTGATTATAGTTTAGAAATTATTTATTGTAACTGTTGAGTGGATTTCTGTTTAACTTTTATATGTAGATATTATTATTTTGTACTATTCTAATAATTATTGAATGTTACTTTTTGATGTAGGTTGCTTATTTTAAAGTTTTGTTTTATTATCACATTTTTGTATTGCATTAGATTGTTATAAGTTGTACATTTTTTGTTTCTTCAGCTTGTAAACCGCCTTAAGTATTGTAAGATAGAAAGACGGTACACAAATAAAAAATGATGATGATGCAAACTCACAAGCTGGAGGTGAGCACAATAGCACTCTCCCCACCTGTGCTTCCCCACCACTTGTAATCAGACGCACACGATACACTTTGATTGCTGGAAGAAAGGCACCTGCTATGTGCTGCTGTACCTCCAGCAGCAAAATGCATTGGGCAGTCCTGCACAGGCTATTGTGTTGCCTGAAGATGGATTACTTGAAACACTACTAAACTACAGCGGTTACTCAGCAGCATACTGTACCAACCTGTAAAAAGACTATCAAAATCTGTGTATCAACTTTTAGGCACGTTAATAGGTTTCATTACCCAAATCCTTTGTTTTCACAAGAATAGCAACCTCCTCCCTTCACCACTCATTATTTCTACTAATTACACATTCCCTACAAAAATAACCAAACTTAAGTATAGAACTTGTGCTTTTTAAAATTCCGATTGAGTTACACAGAGGGACATGAAGAACTTGGCCGTTTGCCCCAACATTTACAGCCCTGCAGTGATTACAGTGGACCTGAAGTACCCCTCCTGCAGGGTTTGCTAATCTGAACTGTGCTTTCAATAACAGCTGCCATTACTAAGCCTCAACAAAAAGAGGACCTAAACTTCCCACCAGTGCAAAGTTTGAGCTGCACTAGTTTGCACAACGTACACATTGTGAGGTTGGGAACTACGGTGTTTTCTAGTGTTGCATTCAAATTCTAAATAGTATTATGTTATGCACAATAATAAAATCCCTATACCTTAACTTTTCACCTGCAAGTTTTTGCATTCACCAAGTTTGTAAGAGCACATGAAACAGTTGTAGCTTATTTGGGAATAAAACATGAATATATTATGCTTTATAGAAAATGTACAGAAATGTTTACTATCTGGAAAATACAGCTCAAAATAAAATCCTCAAATATATCTATTCAGATAACTTATCTCAGGTAGACTGGTATGTAATGCAGACACAACGGTATTCTAAAGTCTTCTTAAAAATAAATACAGCTTTAGGTTTTCTAAAGATTATAATTACCTATTAAGACTCCCGCTTTTCCCTGAACTGATCTTTAGTTTTGAATCCTAAAGCTATTAATCCCTGCGTTCTTGAGTGATTGTCCTAAAATTCATTTTTAAATCACATGTGCGTGCGCGCGCACACACACACACACACTGTATAATAACACAAACAGATCAAGCATTGCTGAAGGGATGCAGGAAATTTGTTCCTCTGTACCAGGGCGATCTAACTTTTCTTACTAAGTGGGCTGCAAGAGTACTTTGACATGGAACGCATGAGCTGCACAGAGTCTTGTTGCACCGGGGAGGAATGGGAGGCCAAAATTTGATGTCCCCCTTCATACTCTCATGCTGCCTTCCCAAACCCAGCTAAGTGAGGCATAGGGCTTTGAGAAGGAGGGGTGGGGCTCTGGCAGGGTCCTCGAGCCCTCCCACTTCCTTCACAAAGCAGGAAAAGGACTAACTAGGCTCTGGAAGAAGGCAGGAGAACTCTATAGCCAAGTCAGGGCCCTTACTCCTCCTTCCCAAAGCATCGCTTAACCAACTTTTAGAAGGTTACAGGGTGGGTGTCAAATTTCACAGAGGGCAGCCAAAAAAGATGGAATCAAAAGATGGAACATAAAATAATGCTTAGGTTTACCAGAAAAGGGAAATTTACAAAAACTAGAAGCATAGCTACTCTTGCAACTCAAGCTAGGTTTGACTCATTTTAAAAGTATTAGTGACTCAGTAAGAGAAAAGATAGACAGATCATTCATTGAAATCAAGTTTCCTATTTTGTCATTCAAAACAAAAGTGAATTTAAATGCTTCCTACAGCCATCAAAACAACAGCTCTAATCTAGCCAAGATGTTAATCACACAATTAATTTTCCTACTGAAGACAAAGGACCTACTATGTTCTAAACTTTGGTTCAGTCATATCCACAGTGATATACAACTAGTGTCCTTTAAATGCTATAGAAATACTGTGGAATTTGCTTTCTGTGGACTCATCCCATGGTATTCCTCTAGCATTCAAACTGAATATGTCTTTCCTACAGAATCTGTACATGAGGAACATGTATCACCAGTTAGCTGAAAGAAGTCCCTGGTCCCCAAATATAAGGGAGATGAAATTTCTACAGCCACACTGCTGAGTTTTGGAATCAGAGAAGCAGCACTTTCCCCAAAATTCCACGGCAAATGCAGAGTTTTGGGTGAAGGCAATGAGTTACTAGCAACTACATAGTCCAGCTAATTCTAAGCCATGCAACATTCTGTGGACAATCTGCATATTTATATGACTAAATATTTTAGCTACATTTTTATTCTACCAAGCAGTTTACACATGTGGATTCCAAGTGCTCTACCCATCCAAAAAGACCTCACACCTGCTTAGCTTCAACAATGTGATTGTCTCATATGCCTTCAGACCATATCCAGGCTGCAGATAGAACCCAGTCTCATAATCATAGTTTGAAAACTGTGGGCTTCTGTACTTCCCTGCTCTCACTCAAGCATTTCCCCCTAATTTTTATAAATTTGCAACTCTGGTGCAATTTTTTTCAAGCACTGCAAACTACTTAGTTCTGAAGCTAAATGGAAAGGAATCCCCAAATAAGGAACAGGTCGCTTAATCTAGCCACATGTAAATAGACCAATTATTAAGTCTACAGCAAACCTACATGCCCAACCTGTCCAGAAGCATGAGTTAGTAGTTACGGGGTAGATTAAGGCTTTGGCATGAGATGGAGAACAAATATCCATCTTTAATTGGCAGGCAGAGTCATAAATATCCTTCATTTGGAAACTAAATTTAGCATAGAGCTCAAATACTCTGTTAATATAATCTGGGTGAGTAAGATCATACAGGTCCCCCACAGTGGTTGATTCTGGTAACTTATAACATGGTGTACCCTGGAGTAACAAAGGGTGAAAAAGCCTATAATAATAGGGGGCATTGCCTGTTGTTCGCATTAATGATGCTCCATCTCAAAAGGCAGATTTTGGGTTTGTTTTTAAGATGAATATAGTACTACCGTAACAAAACAAAAAGAGGAATAACAGGAATATGAGTCTAAATTTTAAATACATTTTTTCATCTTAAACTATGCTATTTCTATTTAAAAACAAACAAAATTATGGTGTCTTAAAACATCTGTAAACATTATAAAGGAATACAAAATCAGATATAAACCATCCCTGGTTATAAAGCTTTTTATCAACCTAGTCTGTTCTTTAAAAAAATGTTCCATTTAATCTAGGTTCCCCTCCTTCATATGCCCTTTATCTTACCTACAGAGGACTAATCTAATTGATTTGTGTTCGGCAGGAAGAACATGGATTTCATTTGTATCAGCATAGCTCTAACTATGCTCATTCCCAACAACGCAAGCAAAATATAGAAATTCATGGTTTGCCACAAATTAATTTTGCAATAAAGCAAATATAATTATTAAAAAATACTAAAATATCTAAGCCTAGATCAACTATTACTATTGATATATACGTTAAAAGGAGAACATTCAGAACTATTCAGTCACATGCTAACAGCTGCCTGATTATTCTTTGCAAAGTATTGAAACGCTAAAAAAAAACAAACCAGAGACAGATGAATGGATTAGGAAAATGCGGGAATATGCTGAAATGGCTAAATTGAACAATATAAGGCTGGAAAAAATGCATCAGATGAAGCAGTATGGCATTTCTTTACTTTTATTTTTGTCAACTGTCATCTATCACTAGATGGTTTTCCTATGTATATTTTTTAACTGTACTCTGTTCACAAATCTGTTGCTTATTCAACCAAGCTATGCCTAAATCAGATTCCGGCATTAGAGGGGTTATCTGCCACTTCCAGTAACTTATTATTGTTCTTGTCTTCAATGTTTATTTGAAGCCTGAATTATGCATTCTGGCTTGTTTCTCGTCTCCTTCCACACTTCCCATTTCTGAGATGCTACAATTGCCAAACTCGCTTAACACACAACACCCAGACCACCATCAATGGAAATGAACGAAGGAATTGGCAAATTGTTTATAATACTTACCGTATTTTTCGTCCCATAGGACGCACCTACTTTTTTGGGGGGGAAAGAAAAGAAATTTTTTTTTCCTTTATTTCCCCCCCCAAAACCAGGTCGGGGAACAGTGGGATGGCGGCACTGCGCCTCCCCGCTGTCCCCCGAGCTTGTGGGGCTGGCCGATGTCTGCCCGGCGCGAGGGGCGCTCTGCTTCAGGGCGCCCCACGCGCCGGGCGGCAGGCTGCGGAGACCTGCGCAAAGCACGGGGCGTCCTCCGAAGGGCGCCCCGTGCTCCGCGCTGCAGGCTGCTCCCCCGGGTGCGCAAGGCTTGCGGGTAGCTTCGTGGAGCCTGGAGAGCGAGAGGTGTCGGTGCGCACCAACGCCTCTTGCTCTCCAGGCTTCAGCGAAAGCCTGCATTCGCCCCATAGGACGCACACACATTTCCCCTTCATTTTTGGAGGGGAAAAAGTGCGTCCTATAGGGCGAAAAATACGGTACTTCAAAAAGAGTTGAAGGCCACCTATCACAGCACTGAGTAATACTGAGGAAAACTATTAACACATTATGAAAAGGCCAAAAGAAAAGTAATCTGCCAGATATAAAGTATGCAAACAACAGAAATTCTAATGACACCACAATAGCTATTTAGATAGGAAAAGGGCTGTCTACATTGGACAAAAAACATGCCAATGCTGGAAGTGATAGCGGGATACCAATGAACCCAGTACAAAAGAACAAGGAGGCACAATTTACCATTTGCTTATGACATTTTATACAACTATAAAAATGTAACAGTTCTTAACATTAGTATTTTGCCTTCTTTCTCTTAAAATAATGTAAACTACAAAGAGCCAAAATATCTGTGTGTCCTTTAGAAGAAAAAGTTGGGGTGGCTTTTCTCAGTAATTACTCCGTGTGTCTCTTGGTTATTTCACACACTTGTTAACTCCTCAAATGTAGGCAAAGTTACGTCAGTATCTCAAATATTACTGTAATACGTACAGGACCACCTCTTGCCATTCTCCTTAAGTTATTAGCAAAACATTTTTACATTAATGCAGATGGTTAATACCATGGTTAATACTAATTCCACATGTGCACATATAAAAACCTCCATTTCAGCAACCTGCTGAGCCAGAACAGGAAGTTTAAAAAAAGAAAACTTAGTCCACAGACTTACTTGGATGCTTTGCATGTCTAGTGTTGCCACATCTTCATTCTTCATTTGCTTATTGTTGAGCCAAAATATTCTTCTGAATACAGAAAACAACAAATGCTGCCTACAGAGAGCATACGCAGCAGAAGCAATCCACCATGAATAAAGTAGAAATAATCTGTTTAGCATGTAGAAAGCCAAAGTTCAAGAAGTCTGCTCCTTGGACTCTTACATAAAATCAACAGGCCACCTTTGATAAAGTGTTTTAATAACAGTGATACCAAGAGAAGCTTTCAGTGTTCAGTGTCTTAAAGGCGCCACGATCATGTCATCTGGCTAGCCACAATAAAAGTAATCTGTGGATGTCAGCAATTTGCAATGCACCTCTAGCCTCAATATCATATTTGGCCACTTAAAGCAGCTGAAATCAAACAGATTCTGTTTTCATAAGCTCCCAAGGTTTCGCTGTCTGGAACAAAGCATGTATGGGCTACCATATTCTAACCAACAAATAGAGACTAAAATGGTTAGGGTACCTAGTAAACTATTGTATAAGGGCAAATTGTATAAGGGTAACTATCACACATGGTGAAGTCATACTCCTTTAGCATTACCTCTCACACAGAAGCTAGATAAGCTCCTTGGAAGAAGGTCTGAATAGAAAATGTAACACACATTTAAGTCTGGTATCGGGGGGAACCATGCAATGCACCCCAATATAAGAAAGCCCATCTCAAACCATTCTTTTCTTGAAAAAGCTTTGTAAACCACACTGCTTTTACTCTCTCTCTCAGGTTAGCTCAACCAGATATTTACGCTATAAGAAATTACAAGCAAAACATTTAGGAAACAGGGATGCCTACATTGATAATATACTAGGAAAACAATGCCTCTAATTGCACTCACTAACAAGTTCACACAAAAATGGTTTGTGCTTCACTTAACACTTGAGATTTATCTTGGGATACAAACTTTTTTCTTTTCTTTTCTTCCCTTTTTTAAAATAGCACCATATATATGGGCTGTACTAGATGATCCTCATGGTCCCTTCCAATTCTACAATTCCATGATTCTATGATATATACATGTCAAGGCTTGCAATGTGCACCAGCTTTTTTTCCATTAAACCATAGTTCACACAGCTGTTCCCAGCAAAAAATTAAAGAAATCCCCTTCCTCATTTCCCACAGCTTAACTTCAGTGAGTTAGTTAACATGTATTAGCTGCTTTCCTAAGCACATATTTATCCTAGCTTAAAATTTGTGTCACACAACAGAAAACTAAATGAGATTCAAGTCATCTACTAATGAGAATGAATGATAGCCTACAGAAGAATTAAGAGTCTTAGTTCTTTATGCTGCTGTGAGGCAGAGACGGGGCATTTCCAGCCCTGCAAGACTGATTTAGTTCATTTGGCCCATAAAGCTGATTCATCCAAGCCACACCCACATGCCCTACACCTAATGTCATATCTGGTGTAAAGGTAGAGCTTGCACAAAAGGGACTTTGCAAGAACCGCTGATCAACGGTGCTTGTAAAGCACCTTACACATCACATCCCAAGTGCCAATTATCAGCTGATTGTTGGGCTTTGGGAAGCCCTGCACACACATTTTTGCTGACGCACTTTGATTTCAAACCATGTGGTCAAAAGCAGGTCATCTGACAGCACTGTGACACCAGGTGATTGACAGGTGCACAGTCCCACCTACCTGTCCTGCAGAAGTGTGTGGAGATAAGGATTTGGCCTGCTGACCAGATCCAGTTCCCCCACTCTTCTTGCAAGGTATCAAATGATGCTATGATTAAATCAAATAATTTTAATCTGCAAATCTTAATGTGTTTCTTAAGAATTTGACTATTAACTAAAACTAATAGATTCAAAAACATACATGACATATTGGTGGGCAGACTTTTATCTAGCCTGAATTCCAGTTGAACCTTCAAAAGCAACCTATGAGTCATTATGCATATAAAACAGTTCTTTCATGTAGCATCAAGTTAACATTTTGTTCATTAAAAAACAATTTTAAGCTAGATTTAACCAGAGAACTTCACTCCCATTTTGTTTTGGTTGCAACCAAATGGAGTGTCTTCTCTCCATCCCCTCCCCCTCCATCTTGTTTATTTTTATTTTCTTTCCTTTTGTAGAAGAACAAAAATGCCAGATTAATAAAATGGAACAAAGAATAAAGAGTGCAACTGAGAATCAAGGATAAGTAATGAGATATGGAATCTCTATGCTTTCAAATCCATCATTCTGATGCATAATATTATTTGTGACAGAAAGGGACTACCATCTGCCACTTGGTACAACATAAAGGATGGTGCTTAACTCAGTTCCTTGAAGCCATGTATTAGCATCAACAGGTTTGAACATAATTACCAATCTTGTTGGCTCATAGAACAAATAGGACGGACCATGTCCATATTTCAAATATAGGAAAGGGTTTATCCAGCAAGTGACATAGGAACAAAAATATACTGTTTATCATAATAGGTCAATACCCTTTGAGGACCATTAAGAAAGGTAAAAGGAGATATGATACAGGCTGTGTAAGATTATGCAGAGAGAAAGACATTTTTCTCCTCTTATGCTACTAGAACCTGTACCCATCAAATTAAGCTGAATGTTGGAAGATTGAGGACAGACAAAAGGAAGTACATAAAATGAACTCTTGAATTTGCTCCCACAAAATGCAGTGATGCCTACCAACCCTGAAGGCTTTCAAAGGTTAGACAAATTCACAAAGGATGGGACTAGGCATGATGCCTGTGTTCTACCATTGCTATGGGAGGCAGTATTCCTCTGTATACTGCTTGCTGGGAAACACAAGTGGCGAGAATGCTAGTGTACTCATTTCCTGCTTGTGGGCTGCTTCTGATGGGGATCTCATTGGTCACTGTCAGAAGAGGATGCTGGACTAGATGTGTCTTTATGTTCCTGTAGGGTTCCATCCTGTCCAACCCCCCCACCAAAAGTGACATTTAAAATCTGTATGAGGGATGAAGAACCTGAGGCCCTGCAAATGTTGATGGATAACTCTCATCATCCTGGACCTTCGGCCATGCTGGCTGGGGCTGATGGGAGGTGGAGTCCAACAACATCAGGAGGGCCATAAGTTCCCTATTCTTGATTTATATGAAACCACTAGGAGCTGTCATCTGGGGATTTAGAGCACAGTGCTATTAGTATATAGATGACAATTAGCTCTACCCCTCCATCCCATCTGAAGAGGTTGTGCAGGTAGGGGACCAGTGTCCAGAGGGAATGATGGTTTGGTGCAGGCCAATGAACTAAAGCTGAATAAGATGGAGGTCCTGTGAATATGGGGTTCTCTGGTCCAGGAATTAGGGAGCCCTCCCTGTCCCTGAAGCAGCATGTGTGTTCCCCTCACTTTTGGGGTCAACTAAAGTGAACTTGGGCTTTAAGGAGATAAATGCCCTGGGGAGCCAGCTGTTGAAATATGCTAGTGTTGTTTTATGTCAAGTTCTGTTGCATGTAGGGAGGTTTTTAAAGTGTGGTGTTCTTGACTTGATTGTATTTTACTGCCGCTGTATACCACCCTTTGCTCCTGACTGGAAGGAAAGATGGCATATAAAGAAAATTCACCACCACCAGAGGCCTGCTTGGGGGTGTGGGATCAGCCATGTTGACAAAAGACACATTTTAAATACACTTAATCTGAACTTGAGGGAGGCAGTCATTCAAAAGAGATATTTAAATATGTCTTACAGGTGTGTGTTTGCAGTGTTACCGATTTTAGCAAGGTGTATATTTTCAAGGTAAACCTGCAGTGGTAGGAGAGAGTCTGTTTGCAAGATCATTACTACACAAGATTCATCAAAGCAAGACACAGCCTAGTGATAATCCCTCTAGTGCTTCACAGTTTATGCAATAGTCAATTAGTAAAGAGGATGAAAGACAGAGCAATCTTTGCAAATAGGTCAGTGCCTATATTTGTAATTATTAACCCAACTTGCTACTTATAGCAACTTCTCTATAAATGATACATTAGAGACAAAGTATGGGAAGCATTTAAATCAGACATGAACTTCCTGTACACAACATACAAAGATTACACTGAGCACCTTCACACAGATTTTAAAAGTTAATGAGCATATGTCACCATAACAGTTCTACTCAAAGCAAGCACATGTTTTAAAAGGGAGACTAGAGCATTCCGGGTGCAACAGTGCCCAGAGTTTCCTCTTAAGACCTCTGCACCATCCCTACTGATAAGGACAGGCGGCCACAAATCCAAAAGTCCATCCTCTGGCACGAAGCATGTCCAGAAGCTAATTTCCCCTCCCCTAAGATCTCATGCACTGCAGGTTGGAGAAAGAATTTCATTGTTACCTATTGTGTTATAATTTTTTATTTATTTCAACAATGTATATACCACTTAATTACGGTTGTCTCTTAGTAATGTACAGGAGACCCAATACAATAAGCCTAAAAATGAGTATAACGGTATAAAATCAGAATTCAGTTAAAAAGCTTGCTGGAATAAATTCAGAAGCCCCGTATGTTCAACAGCGAAAGGAGCTTCTTGTGGATATGAGCCATGCATCTGAGCCATGGGAGGCCACTAACAGTGACTCCCACGAAGACCTCATTGATTGGGCAGGGATATAAGGGATCTGGCGGCCAGTCTCCAAGCTATCCTAGACCCAAGCAAATACAAGGATCTTGAACCTGGCCCAGTAGCATATGGGGAGTCAGTGCATGCTTTTGATCACTGCAGGTATCTGCTGGCAATCATCAGTCCTCATCATCAGTCCAGCTGTTGCACCATTTTGCACCAACTGGAACTGTCGGACCAGGCCCAAAGATAGCCCAACATAGAGCACACGGCAATAATGGAATCTTGAGGTGGCCAATCACTGTGACCACACTACTGATTTCCAAGAATGGCTACATCTGGTTTACTAGCTATAGGCAGTAATTTGGACTTCAGAGACAAAGAGCACAACCCCAACCCTAGCCAACTGCACCCAGACAATGGTTCAGATCATGCACATCCTCTCCTGCCGCTGATGTTGTAGAGAAGTAGAACTGTGTGCCATCAGCATACTGATGACCCTTTCCCCCCAAAAAAACTTTGAATGACCACATCCAGAGGCTGCATACAAGTATTAAACAGCACTAGAGGTCAGATTGTACAGTACTAAGATACACCATAGCTGAAATACAGTCTCCCAATGCTACTCTCTAGATTCAACCCTACAGGGAGGACAGGAACCACTGTCTAACAGGACCCCCAATACGCATTTCACAGAGCTTGCCAAAGGGAATACCATAGTCAATGGTAGCAAAAGCCACAGAGAGATCAAGAAAAAGAAGCAGAGTCCCACACCCCCGTCCCACTCATAATAATAAAATAATAATAATAATAATAATAATGTTATTATTTATACCCCGCCCATCTGGCTGAATTTCCCCAGCCATTCTGGGTCGCTTACAGAATATATAAAACATGATAAAGCATCAAACATTAAAAACTTCCTGATACAAGGCTGCCTTCAGATGTCTTTTAAAAGTTATGTAGTTCATTCATCAGGACAGTCCCAAACTGCGCCTTAACCCAGACTGATATGGATCTAGATAATCTGCATTCTCCATGAACTCCTGCAACCATATGTCAGGAGTGCTCTGATGGTGTTTCCTGCTTGGCAGGGGGTTGGACTCGATGGCCCTTGTGGTCTCTTCCAACTCTATGATTCTATGAACTGCACAACCACCACTCTCTCTATCCCCTTACCCAAAAATGGGGTATTTGCAACCAGGCAGTAGTTGTTATAAACCATAGGATTCAGGGTGGGCTTCTTCAGGAGTGAACACACTTTCACACCTGTTTAAGAGCAGAATGCACCACTCTGTTGTGTAAAGACACATTCACCACATCCTGGACCTATCTAATCAACACCCTTCCCCCAACTGGCTTTCACCAAACATGATAGGCATGAGGCAAGAAGGCAGGAAGCTGACTGCATTATTGTGAGAGTCCTATCCACAACAACAGGCCAGATAAACCAAAATTTGTCTACAGAGATTTAACATTGGTTATATATACTGTATATTCAAATAAGGAGCCACCTAAAGGTCACCTCACACTCTCTTCCTTCCCCAAATTAAGCACTGCTTGCTTCAATGTACATGTTACATGAATTAATGGTTATGCAAACTAGATTTAGATTATTTAATAATTTGACAATTAACAACAATCAGCAAAATTCTTGCTTTCAAAACACCAGCAAGCATTGGTCACTTTTAATTCCTATATGAAGATAGGGGACTGATGAAGAAAATAATCTTGCCAAAGTTCAGATGAGTCTGTGTGGCAGAAAAGTCTTCAAAATGCATAGTGTTTATTAGGGATCCCCTATGCAGCTGTGGAACTGAGACCAAAAGAAAGCAACTGTGCCCACAATCAGAAAACAAGGCTGTTGCAATCAATCCCACCACGCACAACAGCAAGTAAGCAGAGGCAGGCCATACACATCCTTCCCACAAAAATACAGATAGCTGCTGACAGTCACAATAAAGGCAGTTCCATTGGAACATAAGGTCACATAACAGAGTGAAATGAGAATACATCCTGTGGTGTTACCATTCACCAAAAGAGGAGAAAGGAAACATAGTCATTTTTTTAAAAACACTGAATCTAGTATCACTTTTTAAATTGAAGCTTGTGTATGCTTGTGCCATTGGGTATTCTACGTTTACAGTGAGAATCTAACACAGATCACGCAAAATTGGGAACAGAAGGCATGTATATGCCCTGCTGCACAACCTATTTAATGAAAATTCAATCCCATCCCCCCCGTAAAACTGATAGGAGGCTTCTCATAGGTTCAAACAAAGAAAACTGGAATGCATTCCTACAACCCGCAATAAGCTGTTGCACAGACTCTCTTGTGTAGAACAAACACAAACTTCTTTTATTTTCTAAAATGCATTTATACAGACTTTAAAATGTGCAAGACACAGACAGCAGACCCTGTTAAAAGTAGGATCCAATGAAGAAAGAACGCTCTTTGGCCTCCACATAAGCTGGCATAAAGACAATTGACATCTCACATTCACTGTATAGTGCTAACACTCACTTAGCTTAACACTTGTTTTCAAGGTAACCATACGCAGCCTGGAACTTCATGTTCTGGCAACAAACAGTCATAAGAACAGCTTGCAAAGACCTTAATTTCTACCCAGCTGATTTCTGCCAAACAATGGTCACTATTGAAAGATTTTAAAAAGCAGGAGGGTAGTTCAGTAAAATCTAGCAGGCATTTAAATCTCTAGATCTGCTTGATCCAGAGGAAACAAGTTTGCTTGTTCTTATTCTGATCTACTAGCCTGAATTTTTCTTTCCATTTTCAGTTCCAACAGACTTTCATTCAATGGTTCTGGTTTTCCTCAGGGATGAAGTTCAGTCCAGTTTTGGTGTAATTTGATTTCCTGAACCTAAACTCTCCCAATCATAATTTTAATGTACTTTGCTGAAGTTACAAACTGAAGAGTCACATTATTACAACATTTATAGTTTGCTACATTCTGCAGGGCAAAGAACTAGGATATAGGGTGTCTTTCTTGCTTATTAAAATAATGTTGATGTCTAATTGCTATGACAGCTTTTCACCACTCATGGCTATGTTGAAAGTAACATAGCTTGTGGGCATCATAACTAGATAAAATATTACACCCATTTTGTAATGTTACAGTTTTAAATTTCTAAGACTATTGTCTAAGACTGTGACAGATCTGTTTCTTGCCTAGTGAGAATGAGAGAGAGCATTCTGAGGCTAGACGCTTCCCCACCCCCAAGCAGCATGGATATATAGCTGACACCTGAGTACCCAGTAGTAAAATTAGGTCCAAAAGCCTTATCCAGACTGCAAACTGGCTCTACAAGTGAGTGTTGTTCAAGAAGAACTGCTTGCCATACTTTGTTTGACCTGTTTGCACTTTTCATTTGTTACATACTGTATTGCATATAACAGGTCTTCTTGAATTGCATTGGGTCAGTCCACAGGGAGTTGGTGGTTTTCATACAGGACATCTGTATAACTCCTGCATTCTGATTGTAAGTTTTATCAAACTTGTTCAGTACAGTTTCCCTAGTGCTTCTATTTGGAAATACCAACATCAGCCAAAGTCACTAATAAAAAATGCTGATAAGAGCAATTGGGGATGTTCCTGGATTCAACACTTGTCACTGGATTCTCAGGCTCCTTCAATGACTAGGAGTGCCTTTTCTCCAGCTGGTTCACCAGCTACAACCCCATTTGGATAGAGATAACTTGGTCACTATGTTCCATGCTTTGGTAACTTCCAGATTGGATTGCTTTAATGCACTCTATGTGGGGATTTCCTTGAAGGTGATTCAGAAAACTCAATCAGTCTGGGGCTTCACTGTTTTAAAATAGCTACACCCGTTGCCAGTTTGTTTCCGGGCCCAAGTCAATATGCTCACATTAGTGTTTAAAGCAGGGGTTGGCAAACTACAGCCCAGGGGCCGGGTGCGGCCCACCAGGCTCGTAAATCCAGCCCGTGGACCCTGCTACCTGCTCAGTCAGTCCCCGCACTAAACCAGTGCGGAGCGGAGGCCTCACCGTGCAGAGACTGACTTCCGCAACGCTGGCACGGCTTCGGATTGGCTGCACGAAGCTCCTGCAGCCAATCCAAAGCCATGGATGCCTCTGGGCGACACCCCTTCCTTCCCACTGAGGCGGCCGTGTATGGCCAAGAGCTGAGCGGAAGCGGCAGTAGCAGAGTCTGCCTCCACTGCCCAGGCCAGCGGCATGGGCTCTGCACCCCACAGACCCCTGGCTGAGGCAGAGGACGGCGACGACGCTGCAGAAGATGAGGCAGCGTCAGCGGCTGTGGCGTGAGTGGTGGCAGGGGGGTCCTTTCGGGAGAGGGTGGGTCCGGCCCCCCACAAAGTCTGAGGAACAGTGGACCGGCCCCCTCCTGAAAAAGTTTGCTGACCCCTGATTTAAAGTCTTAAATGACTCAGGCCCCAACTAACCGAAACACAACCTGGAGTGCTGAGATGGGCAGAGGGAGCCTTATTGGTAGTTTCTCCGCCCTTGGAAGTTCAGGGGGTGGAAGCCTGGGAGACTGCATTCTCTGTGGCAGCCCTAAGCTGTGAAACTGCCGCCCCACAAAGGCACATCTTTCAACTTCATTACACAGCTGACGGACGTTGAAGATTAATCTCTTTACCCTAGCTTTTGACACTTGAGGGGTACATTTTGAGAACACCCCTTATTTTTGAGGTTTTAAGTTGTATTAATATTGTGTTTTTAATGTTGTAACCAGTTCTGGGACCTTAGGGTGAAGGATGAGTAATAAATAAATACTTTTTTAAAAAAATGTGAAAGTGGTATATGTGATGGTTGTCAGCTAATTTGGATTAATAACATAATAAGTGCTATGAAGATTATGTTCACTGTTCAGGGCACATCAATTTATCAAAACCCTCATAGGCAATTATCAACTCAAGGAGTATCAATCATCACTGATGGCTGCTACATCAAAAAATAACAAGGATGACATGAAACAACTAGCATCCATGGAATGCATCTGTACTACAGTTGTTGTAGTAGTACAGCTCAGGGACTCCTAAAAATAAGCTGATAAGAACTACCACAACCTCTGTGAATAAAAATGGCATGTCTAACCCAGTGTCGAGCACTGACCACCCAGATGCGCTACAGAATATGAAAAGCTTTCCACTCTATTGGCCATTTGAAATTTCTATCTATTTAATAAGAACTTCTGCAAGAGGATACGTACGTTGACCATAACAGGCTAAACTGATCCAATCCTTTCCATCATCCTTCTCATGCTTAATGAACCCTTCAAAGAAGGGTTAATTTCTGAAAAATGGCAAATCAATGGATAACTGCACAAAAACAAACCACCTGGTGAGTGTCACCAGAGAAATATTAAGTATGCTCTCACTATTCTAACACACAGTAGCTGAGTAAGCTTAGTTCTTATACATTTAGTATAAAAAGTTTGTGTACATAAACAAACTTCTTGCTAAATTGTTACTTCATACCTTTTTTTAAGACACAAAATAGTTCAAATTTGACTGTGATGCATCTCATCTTACCTGTACTTGTTCTGTGGAACTGCTACTGAGTTCATCTCCAGATTCTGAATCCTGGTGGATTTTCTCTGAGCCTTCTCCTGCAGAATCACAGGACTGTTCTTGCGAAAAGCTGGTCTTTTCTATCTCCACACATTCAGAACAAGAAAAATGGGACACAGAGAATGTTCTGTTCTGATTGGAAACTTTAGGGAACTGAAATTCATTTGATTTCCCATTATTCTGCAAAAGGTCCAAGCTCAGGCCAAAATTCTGACCTGGGCTAACGTTTGGTCCCAAATTCTGATTGGCATCCCGAACTGTGCTAGACACTTGAACTGGAGAAGATTTCCCAAAACTAGAAAGCTCCGGAGACTTATTGACATTTTCTGTTGACCTCTGTAACCCATGCATAAGTTTTAAAGAGCTGTTTGGCAGCCCACCCAATTGCTTGATAGGTGGCATTAGTGCTTTGCGAGTTACTTCTTTCACATACTGTGCTGGCACATAGAATGGCTTTGAGTTTTCATCCCTCTTAACTTGCCACCAGTCATCATTCGTCTTTTTCACTAAAATGTATCTCTCCCCTTGTTTAATCACAATCCTTTTGTCTTTTGCTTCGTATTCATAGTCATATTCAACTTCGATGTATAATGGACCTGAAAGAATCTTTCCACTCTTGTCGGCCATCTCTTGGAAGAAACTGTATTCACCTTTCTACGTGAAAGGTAAGCCACATTATGGTCTTTCTTTCCCCCTGTAAGGGAAAAAAAATGTTATTACCACAAAGGAGTTTCAGCTGCATGCTGTTTATTGACTAGTCTCATATTTGGGATGAACTGGCTAACCAAATCTTTCGCAAAGTTTTTTCTCTCAGAGCCATAACTGGAAATTTCCCCAGAAACTTTTCTGAAATGTTTCCCCTTCCCTAATTGGCTTACATTTAGGCAAACAAAAGCTGTTGTTTTTTAAGTTTCACATGCAGTATACTGTAAATATCTGAAAGGTTTTTCCAAATTGTCAGAATTAGTTGAAACTGAAATATTGGATTGAGGGAATTCAATAAAATGCCATATTTTAGTACATGACAACACATTAACCTAGGATTCATTTTAAGAAAAATTCAGGGTACTGAAAACTCTGATCATGGATGAATAGCAGTGTACATAAATATAAGTGCTTTCTAGGCATAACCATATGAAAAATGTTAACTACAACTTTAAGTGGGACCATCCTGATGACTAGGTGTGCTTTGATGTTGTTCACAGGTTGCAACCATTTTGTGCATGTTCAATTGATGCACAACCACTGACACACACATCATTTTCAGCCCCAGAAGAGGGTGGAACGGGGCAGGCTTACATGAGACCGCTGATGTGCGCAATGACCCAAAATGCAACCCCGCACAAATGGGAAGTTGCCCGTACTGTAATTCTATTAATGTATTCTGATTGTATTTGCAAGAGGATTTGTATCCTGAAAAGTGGAATAAATAAAATATAACAATTTCCATTTTCAGAAATATCACACCCACTTACCAATTTTTCTTGAGCTTTTAGGTTCCCATTACTACATTACTCTTTTGAGAATTACTGCACTCTTAATCCATGAAATTAATAAATATTCTGCTAAAGTGGTATACAAGAGGGGGTTTTTGCCCGCAAGTTGCATAGGTGTAAGATATACGTTAAACATTAATAACTTTTTCTGGACCCTCATATCTGTTCGGCTCTTGCTCTTTGCCTGTTACTAAGCCTATTGTTTCAGTTACTTAGCAAAATGGATCAGGTCTTTTTTTAGTTCAAGACAATCCTATGATTACGTAGAGGATTTATTTAGTTCAGGTATTATTAAACCTTGTGGGGAATAAAAGAATGGTTTTGCTTAATTTGGCTCCCATATTCTGCTCAGATATCCCTTTAGTATTACTTCTCCTGAGTTCTGTAGTGCCATCAAATTAATAAATCACAAATCATTACCAAACATCTTGGAAAGTGTTCCCTTCAAGTTCTGTTACCTAATCTTATGAACCATAGAGGTCAGGATACTGTAAATAAGAATGTATACTCTTTAAGCATGCTTCCCACATTTTAATAAAACAGCTTTGCCAAGGTCACATTGCAGATATTTCAGCTGTTACATATATTTATTTTAGTGTAGGGTTTCTTTCCTCTTAAATTCCTTGAGTCTTTAAAGTGGGATAGGAAAAAAAACCCCAGCTTATACATTTAACATCTAAAGGGGGTTATTTCTGTTCAAACAAAATAACAAAGATTAATCCTTGATTAGGCAACAGACACTGATAATTCACAATGAAGGAAATTATTTCAACTGAATTCCAAAAGATGGTTTGACTATACGCAAATGAGACTGTAAGAACACTTGGGCTCACAGACTCCCTTATCCTTCTCATGCACTGTAATTCATTTCCTCCCCAGTTTAAAATAAACCAGTTAGTACTGTCATCTGAACTGGCAAGATATGGCTTGCACTTGCCCTCCTGAAAATCAAGATTGCAAACCAAAGTGTCATCCTAGCTTCCAGACTTGGTTTGCATGGCAAACACAACCACAGTCTGATGGAACAAACAACTATGGTTTGCCACAAACCAGGAAGTAATTCCAACATGCAAGGTGAGGAAAGGGAGCATGCAAGCCAAAGTATCCTTCCTAGGTCATTTATGTACCCATAGTTCTTAGTGAACTGGTTCAGAAATAACACCATTAGAAGTAGACAAAGGTTTTCTGCATGCTTACAGAAGGGAACCGCATCAAGTCAGCACTAGACACACAGGATTTGTTGTTCCCAGAATAGAGATGTACATTTGAATGTGGATATCTGCATATCTTATTAAGGACCACCTGGGCCCTTATATCCCAGCTTAATCATCCATGTTAGAGGCCCAACTGGCCTCAACTAGAAGTTTGCTATTTAGTTATCTCAGTCTTGTGCTATGGAACACTCAGCATCAGTATCAGTATCTAACTTTAGTTCGGTCACTGACCAGCATAAGATAAAACATACGGATAAACAGAACACATAAGACTTAAAACAGGTAAGGCGTAAAAACTAGTAATTAAAAGCTGATTATATCACACATACTTAAAAAGGTGGGGAAAGCGACAAACAGCTAAAAGCGACTATAAGGGAGGGAGTGTGAAGGAGCACAGGTCTTGCATTTGGGCCTAGTTTGTGGCACAAACCATCCTTTGATGGAACACTCTTCCAGCAGAGATTTCGCAGGCAGTGTCAGGTGTCTCTTGAAGACCTTTTAATGCTAATAGGCCTATGCAACTGTTTAAAACTTTTTGCAACTATAAGTCGCTTTACTTTTTCTTTAAAATATCTTCATGTTTAAGAAGCCAATTGTAATGTAGAACAAATGAAAGAAAATACATGAGGAGTAAGGGAAATTCTTCAGCTCCAGCACAGTGCATCTTAAGGATCTTGTTGGACCGAGACCAAAATTTGTAAATGAAGAGGGAATAGAAAAGTCAGCTCTAGAAATAAAACATATGTGCCCTATTAAAACTACAAGAGAAAGACTGTAACTTTATAGAATACTGCCACCAATAATCAGTGTTTTATCCGCTTTTTGCTTCTATAAATTATTTCTTCCTGTCACTTTAATTTCCTATATAATCATCACAAGAGATGGAAGTACTACAACTGGGGAATAAAATCCATCTACCTAACTAGCTGAAATAAACTATTTATGCTGGAATAACCAACTGAAGTGTTTTTTAAATTTGTATTCTGTTCAAATGTTGAGCAGCAGCTCTAACTTCACAAAATCCATCTCTCAAATGCCATTTCTCAAAAGCCGCATCCCGCCCCCCTTTTAAGCACTTAAATGAGCATCACCTGCTGTAGTCAATGGTTGATAAAGACAACCAGACTTGTGAGGGGGTAGAATAAAAATGAAGAGGCATCCATCACTAGCATTATGAGAATACTAAGGCTTCAATCCAAACTTAATGGCTACATTTGTATTTCGAGCTAAACCAGGGGTAGTTAATGTGGTGCCCTACAGATATTTTAAACCACAACTCTAAACATCCATACTGTTGGTAATACCAGCTGAGGCTGCTAAAAGTAGTTCAATTCCCATCAGCCTCAGCCAGTATAGCCAACAGTTAGGGATGATGAGAGTTATACTCTGAAGCATCTGTAGCACACCACATTGGTTCCTCCTTTTGTTAAACCACAGTTTGATGTGTGCTTGAGCAACAACAAACTACAAGCAAGCCTTGAGCTCAAGTCCCCACCACTCCCACAGTCAGGAGTTTGCTTCACTTTTGTTTCGTCCAAATAAAAAAAACCCATAGTTGTTGTTGTTTTTTAAAAAGCAAAACATGATTAACATTAACAATAACTTGCAACCAGCTCATAAACACTGTGCCAATGCAGCCAAAGGGGATCAGTTCTGAGTAGGTGTGCTGTAAGTATTAGAACAGTGGATATGGAAACTGTATTATACACTAAATTTGCACTTTTCAAAGAGTGGATGTAATGTAGGAGGCAATAAAAGTGAAGTAGCATGACATTAAAGCCCACACACTTCACTAAACCAATGTGAGTCAACAAAGGGTGAGCAAGATCTGAAATTAGTACTAGAACCCAACCTTACTTTCAAAGCAGCAGTAACTGTACAAAAAAGGAGTACAAAAACATTTAGAAGGTTAGAAAGCAGTATAACAGAATCATCATATCTGTGTATAATTCCTAGCCTGGAAACTATTTAAAACCAATTATAATTTGCTTCACTCGGTGTAATAACTGAAGCTCAGAATCAAAAAAATCACAGCACGGTCCAAACAAAAATTGAAAAAAACTATGCTACTATTTATGTAACCAAAAATACAAACAAGCTCTCTCAGTGTCATTTGGTTCTTACCGCAGACTATTGTGCTGGCAAACATTATCCCCTACAGCTGCAAGGAGCACATTAATGATGTTGTGATACAAACAAAGTTAGTCATTGAAGTCGTATTGGAGGACATTTAGATCCCCATGTCATAGGTTCTTACCAACTGAAGGCCAGATGAAATAAAACCCAGCCAACTGTCCTCTGCACAATTGATGTTTTCTCCTATGTTGTAACTTGTCAGCATCTCAGCAACAAGCTTTAATTTAAGCACATTTTCATTAAGCCCACAATTTCTGGATGCCTATCACATGAGAACATAATGCACACCCCCTGGCATAAACAGTTTTGTCTTTTATGCAAATTTTTCTGCAACCTATAAGTTTCACTTCAGGCAAGAATTCTGTCCATCAGAGGAATGTGAAGGCTTGCATTATTCTTGATGCTTAAGATCAAAATTTCTGACAAGAATTAAGTACACCACAGTCATCTGGAGAAAGGGTAACAGAAACATTTCTAGTCACCATGGCAGAAAAGCAAACACGCAATTCAAGGCCAAGTCCATGAGTTTCATAACAACATTCTCTTCACATTTGCTGAGGGAAATCAATTTCACACACTGAAATTTCATCAGAATAATTTTGCTTGACAGCTGGTATGACTCATTCGTACTCAATTTTATATGAAATACTTTCAAAATGAGCCTAAAGATTTAAACAGAGAGATTGTAACCATGGACAGTAGATACCAATTACCAAAAAAAGGTCAGCTCCTTCTTGAACACCTACACTAGGGAACATTTGAGGACAATGGGCTCTCCAAGAATATGGTATTTAAAATAAAAGCCAAACTGTACCTTTCTTGAAACTTGATTACAAACTCAGCTTCTCATAATCTGAATGCATAGTGTACTTACATGCCAAACAGCTTTAAAAAGCCAATTTCCCCAAAGTTTTTTTTATTAAAAGGGGGAGGGAATAACATCATATCAGTTACTTGCCTCTCTTATTCTACTCTTTTGTTATTGTGCTGACTACAATTGCAAACTATAAATAGCTAGAAAAGTCTGTGACTGATACATTGTGGTTAACTCATACTAACCAAGGCTCAAATCATTTTAAGGCCTGTATAGACAGTTGGCAAGGAAGACAGAATGCAGAACTTCCGCTCAAGCTGGTAACTAAGCTATCCTCCTCCTTCATAATTTGTCCTAACTGGAGAAATGAAGTTACACAATGTACTCTCCTTTAATGTATCTATGTGTTTGTATTATTTGGTCAACTATATATACATCTACAAGCTGTATGTTGCATGTATGGCTCTGTTGTAAGTAACTTTTGGTTGCCCTGGGCAACCCTGACAAATTTATTATTATTGTATTTATCAATAATAATAATAGTAATAATATCATATAGCTTGTGTATGCATAACACAAAATAACTTATAACCAAATTAGGCTTTTACCACAGAAGCAAAATATACCACTTTAGGACCCTTCTCCACACAGGCAGCTTGACACAAGGCAAAATCCAGAGATAGCATAGATCTGTGTATCAGTTGCACAAACATTAATGCTTCCAGGCATGAAACTGCCCTGGCTCCCGAGGGTAAACGAAACACTTATAGAATTCATATATATTTTCAGATTCAGGCTGTACCAGTCAAGACACAGCGAACTACAAATTAAAACTGGGCCCAAGTGCGGACAGAGGTGGGATTGCCATTCCTCCCACCTGCCCTTACAAACCCACCCATATATATACACACGAGAGTTACCAAGTGATTACTGTATAGGGAACCAACAAGTCCGCCCCCCATCCCATCCTGCTCATGTCGCAGAATGAAAACACCCCAAGGTCAAGCGGGGGGCGGGCGGGGGAGTGTCGCGAGGAGGAAACCCGACGCAGCACGTCTATCAGCATTAGGCCTTGACACGGTCGTGTGCACATGACGCACCACCGGCTCCCCTTTAAACTCCGGCTGTCACGCTTTCCCACCGGAGTAGCCGAAAGTGTGGCTTAAAGGGCTTGCTCCCCTCCGTCCCTCCTCCTCCTCCTCCCTCCGCACACCTTTCCACGCTCCACCTAGGGGTGGGGCGGAGGCTACAACGCGCTTTTCTGATAGGGGGCGCAGGCGGGGGAGGGGTGGGGAAAGGAGGAGGAAGGGGCGGCGGAAGAAGAGGAGTTGCTCCGGCTTAATTCAACAAGAAGCGCAACAGTGGGAGGGGGGAGGGAAGGGACAAACAGGGAAACCGTGTCTCTCCGTTCTTCCTTGCAAAGGAAGGGGGGGAGAAATAAACCCCGTGAAGCCAGCAACGCCCCCTCCCCAAACACGGTACTTCAACGCACTTCTGGCAGGCACAGCACAGCACGCTGCTCCCCCCCTCCCCGAATAACGGCCCACTCACCCAAAGGTCGCTCCGACTACAAGGCGGTATCCCCGCCGCCGCCGCCGCCGTTGCTTTTTCTTCCTCCTCCTTCCGCTTCGCCTCGCTCGCTCCTTTCTTCCCTCCTGCCCGCCTGCCTGCCTGCCTGCCTGCCCAGGAGCCCCGCCCCCTCCCGGCCTCAGCTCCGCGCCGAGTGTCAGCTCCAGGGCACCGCGCCGCCCGGCGTCAGAGGCCCCCGTCACGTGCCGGGGGAAGGGGAAGGGAGGGGAGGCGGGGCAAAAGGTGGAAAGGAGCGGCGCCGTTGGGAGGGGAGGCTTGGAGTGACAAGAGAAAAAGAGGCGGGAAGAGGGGGCGCGAGGGAGAGAAGGGCGCCTGCGGTTACTCATTTGAATTCCGCCCTCTCCTCGCCCCTCTCTCTCGTCCCTTTTCTCTGCCCAGGCTGCTTGTTCCACAGAACAAAAAAGGGAATAAAATAAAGCTCACATGAAACACGCTACAAGCATGTGTCTGTTATTATATTACATTATATATTATATTATGCGTCTCGACCGAGATTAAGCTGTGTCAAAACCTGTTGCAGGGGGAGAGGGAGAGAAAAACTTTTTGTTTTGAAGGCAGAGGGATGCGTTTATTGAACCTTAATCCTCAAAACGGAAAGATTTCAAGGCGGCGTGTGGCGGAATGGCGCGCGAATGGAAGCGACCCCCGCAACAGTTGGTGAAAGGTGTAAATCCGACGGACGCGCGTTGCAATCAATATACGGAGGGAGTGGGCTAAAATGCTCAAGGGCAGCACGAGGAGGACTATAGGAAAAGCACCCGCGAGCGCAAGTCTTGAGACGTCTTGGAAGCCGGGGGATAGTAAGGGTTTGGGGGGCGGGAGAGAGCCCGGTTCTTTTTTGCACAGTGGAGACACACGCACAAAAAGAAAAGCCCTGGGATGCAAGAGTTTAAGCTGTGGGCATGTCCAAGCTAGCCACAGCCTTCGACGCAGCTGCCTCGCGGGAAGGGCTGGGAAATGCACGGAAGAAGCTTCCCGACAGACCTTCCTGCAGTGATATTGCAAACCCTGACACGTCACTGGGACTAGGAGTGCTTTGACATCAAAGCCTGAGGATGCAAAGGCAGGATGTCCCAAAATCAATTTATGCTAGGTTTTACAAATGCCTGGGGTTTTTTTTTTACCTGCCCTCGGATTTACTTCTGAGGATACACGCGTAGTACTGCACCATTAATAGCCTCAAGGTTAAACCACAAGCTCCAAGTCAGTAATACAGATACAAGCCTCATTTGTTTGGGATCTCATGGCTTAATACCTCAAATTTGATGGTTGGAAATGGGATACCTAATTAAATGGTGTTTTCGGTAATGTTCACACTTTGCAATCCATTTCCCCCTCATTCAATGCATTTTGTTGTGTTATTTTCGCTGTTTTAATGCACCTTTTCCCTGCAGAGTTGTGTCTTTCTAACCATTGTTTCTTGGTGAACTGCATAGTTGGTTGTAAGTTGTTTTGGGTTGCCCTGCCGAGACAAAGCAACTGATAAATTTAATAAAGAATAACGATGTAATAACCATCATACGCATGTTTACTCAAAGGTAAATACAACGGTGCTCATTCCTAATAGGTGTATTTAAGATTGCAGCCTAAAATGATATCTCCAATATTTCAATATAATCATATACTTGAAGATTATAATCTTTGTTAACAATAGCTAAGATAGAAACTTTTGGAGTTGCCATTATTACTGATAATTGCTGTGATTTTGTGCATTTTCAATATACATACATACATAATTTTATTTGTATGCTACCTTCCCACAAGTCAAACCATGCTCAAGGCAACTTGCAACATGAAAAAGTACTTAACTACAACATAACAAAAGTAATCATGAACAATAAATGAAACATGAAAAAATGCACAACCAAACTGAACAATTTCCACAAGGATTATTCTCAGGGTATTCAGGAAGCAATTATTTTTCCTCTGTTGTGTTTTACTATAAAGGAAATAGGAGGGAGTGTTTGGAAGGTTCTCATATGAATAATTTCTAGCGCTGTTTTTCCTCCAATTCTATAGATAGATGGGGCAAATACGTTGCATCTATGTGGAGACATTTTTTTACATGGTGGAGCATTCCGCCATATGTGTATTCACCTATAGGCAATAAGCAGCTTTATGACCTCTGAGAAGTAAGCCTGAATGGAGAGAGAGGAAATAGGTCATTCATAATAGATTCTGCATCAACAGAGAGGAGAAAGAGGAGTAACAGAATTGTGGCAAGGGAAAGCAGTATTCCCAGATGGAATGCTATGTCACCCAGTCACTGTCTTCCTTCTCTAGTCAATCATTGCTTGGTGTCAATAGGTACCAATTTTTTACTCCAACTTTGTAATCCAGTTCTCATAGAAAATCCAAAATAGAAGTCTGAAATATACTAGGAAAGAACAACATGGTTCTCCAGCATTTTAGCTTCCCACTGTACGTTCAGCTATATGCCATGCATTGCTTCTGGGTGTAGTCTACATTCTGTGGGCCGCAAGGTGCTTAAACTGTTCATGTTTCATTCAAGCTGGTAAGGACCCAGTAAGGGCACATTGACAACTTTCCTCTCAAATAACATTAGTTTACTTCATCAACAATGTCAGCTGTAAACAATGTCTGTTTTGTATTCTCACCACCAACTCACTGTGTTGTAAATCACTTGTCCCCATTGGCGTGTCTTTCCATCTTCCAAAATTTAGTATTTTACTGCTATTGTTTCTGCTGGATTACAGCTAAGCGAGAGGGTAGATACAAATGCACCCAGAGTTAAACGAGACAAAAGCAGCTTAAATGAAAAAGCGTGGATTTAAACAGCTTTTGAATTGCATTGTCCTTTCAGCACTTATTTATTTACCCAGGCCTTTTAACATTTGACAATATTGTTTTAATGCCAGAAATCCATTGAATATTTTATTCTTTTGTGGTTTTATGGTTGTTTCAGTTTTATCCAGTATTGTTAGCTAGCCTGGAAATGTTTATAATGAAGGATCAGATAGATTTATAAAATAAATGACTAAATAAAATATTATTCCCCAGCTTATTGTGCCAATGCCCCCAGACATTCTCAACACAACCCCCAACATGTATTGTAGCTTATCTTCTTTAATGCTCGTTCCTGTTACCAAGGCTTACATATGCATGTGCAGCAAAATGTGCCCAGAGTTTCTTTCACTGTGTATGGGTCACTCAGTGATAGATGAACAGGCTGTGCATGCAAAACAACCCTGGTTCCATGCCTTAGCCAGGTAGGGTTTGGAAAGACTCTCCAAGTTTGAATCTTGGACAGCTGCTGCCAGTCTGTGTAGACAATACTGAGCTAGATGAACCAGTGGGGCAACTCAGTTTGAAGCAACTTTCTCCTCTGTTATTTCACCACTAGATTGTCCTCCCTTTAGGACCAGGGACCTATCTCATATTGCTTATCTCTCCGTAAAGTACTGTGAACACTTATAACACGCTCATGGTCATCATCACTAGCAGGGTGTGTCTGTAAAGTGGGGCTGGACTTATTTCTCTGCCAGCATGGCACTAAAGATGTGGTCAAGTAATATTTTCAGGAAACTAGATATTGTGTAACCTTGGTCCGCAGGTTTTATATATGGTCAATTGCATAAGAGTCAGTTCCCTAGTTTGTTCATTCTCCTTTCATTTTTCTTATCTGTTTCCCACTCTGTAGTCGGGGTGTTGCAATCTACATTGCTAAAATATCACCCCCCTACTCTTCACATATGCCTTTCTGCTATTGTTGAGGAACAGAGGCAGGAAGTTGTGAAGGGTATGTGAAGACAGCTCCAATTTTGAGGAACAGAATATCCCTGACAGAAGAAATGTGAAAAGCACTCTCCTTCATCCTCGCATACAAGTCTGCCATGACTCCGATGTCTAAAATGCTAACATTCCCTTCTATTCACCTCCTCCTCTCTATTTTTCATTAAATTCCCTCCTACTCACATTCCCTGCTCTAACAAATTAACTTAAGACTCAGCTCTTCAGCACTCAGCATCCCACCACACTTGAAGGCCATTTAAAATCACTCTTTTCACACACATCCATAATGATCTCTTCACAATTCCCGAGGAATGTTACATCAGTGGTTATGACTTGGGAGGATAGCACTACCAATGTAGCCTGACCCTAAGCACATTTTCTGCAAGTCCCACTTAAGTTAGTGGGAGTTCATTCTGTTTTCTGTGATAGCAGCTGTTGTGCATCATAGACACAATCTAGATTTGTCCATTTTATCCTGTACTTCAAAAATAAATATATTTCCTCAAACCTAAACATCACAAGCCACGTGAGAATATAATTACTTCCATCATCCTTTTTTTTTAATATATAAAAAAGGATATCACATTGTCAAAATGCAGGAAAAAATGAACAAAACTTAATGCAATATATCTGGAATGTCACTAAAGGCAAAATATTAAAATCACCTTATTTTAAAATGTTCTCTATGCAATTTAATTTATACTTATGTAATTAAAAAAAAACCTGCATTCAGCTGGAAAAAATGGCACATACCCATAACTGGATTTTAAATTATTTAAATTGTTTTTCTTCCAGCTTAGCAGGGATTCATAATTATTTCAGCTTTTAGCTTATACAGTATTGCCTTTGATTACATGTCTGAACAAAGGTAACGTATTGCACCTTTTAAGCCAACCCCTGCTTAAGATGCTTCAAAGTATTTTTTCCCTTTGTAAGATAACTTATAACACGTCTTCTGATTGGGAGCCAATATTCAGGCATTTACCGTATTTTTCACTCTATAAGACGCACCAGACCATAAGACGCACCTAGTTTTTGGAGAAGGAAAACAAGAAAAAAAATATTCTGAATCCCAGAAGCCAGAACAGCAAGAGGGATTGCTGCGCAGTGAAAGCAGCGATCCCTCTTGCTGTTCTGGCTTCTGGGATAGCTGCGCAGCCTGCATTTGCTCCATAAGACGCACACACATTTCCCCTTACTTTTTAGGAGGGAAAAAGTGAGTCTTATAGAGCAAAAAATACGGTAAGTCACAGGAAAAGCAGAAAGTGGAACAAAATATTAAATTAATCGATCCATACAAAAGTTGCTGGATTTACCAGGATTCTTCAGAATGCATCGTTTTTCTTTGGTATGAGTTCTCTTCCCTGCTACACACACACACAATCTTCACCAAAGAATCACATAGTGTCCGCCTTCCTGGACTATACCACTGAGAATACAATAGGGCAGGCATAGGCAGGTTCGGCCCTCCAGATGTTTTGAGACTACAATTCCCATCATCCCCCACCACTGGTTCTGTTAGCTAGGGATCATGGGAGTTGTAGGCCTAAAACATCCAGAGGTATGAGTTTGC